GCTGCGTCCAGCTCTGGTGCCCTCAGCAGAAGAAGGATATTGACCAGCTGGAGCGAGTCCAGAGGAGGCCACAAAGATGGTCCAAAAGCTGGAGCACCTCTGCCATGGGGACAGGCTGCGAGAGTTGGGTTTTTTCAGCCTGGAGAAGAGAAGGCTCCAGGGAGACCTTATGGCACCTTCCAGTACCTGAATGGAGCCTACAGGAAAGCTGGGGGAGAACTTTTTAGAAGGGCCTGTAGTAACACGACAAGGGGTAACGGGTTTAAATTGAAAGGGGGGAGGTTTAGATTAGATACCAGGAAGAATTTCTTCCCAGAGAGGGTGGTGAGGCGCTGGGACAGGTTGCCCAGAGAAGCTGCGGATGCCCCATCCCTGGAAGTGTTCAAGGCCAGGCTGGATGACGCTTTGAGCAACCTGGTCTAGTGGAAGGTGTCCCTGCCCATGGCAGGGGGGGTGGGACTTGATGGTCTTTAAAGGTCCCTTCCAACCCAAAACATTCCATGATTCAGCATGAATTCAGCATTAATATGTACCTGTCAGAACATTGATCTGGCTTTAGCAGCATAGACTTGAGATACTCTCTTCTTGCGCGATTATTTGCCTTATCCACATGTATCACTGCAATGCAAAACAGAATTAATATAATTAGTTATTAGTTGTTTTTCATCTTTTAGAATAAGAGCACGTAGAAAAGAACAAAGCAAAATAAACATTACTTTCCCTTGTCTTTAGTAAGGAAAAGAAACAATGTTAGAATCAAATTTGAAAGGTCATGTGATCTAATGGCATGTCACTGGCAGGTTTATGTGCACACTGTCAAAAAAGATACAAGCAGCATGCCACATAGCTGTCATTTTCTGTTAATGGCAATAGCAGTCATGATTTTAAAAGCCAGTGGTCTTTATGGCTTTGTATTTGAAGTGATTTACTGCATTTTCTTCCACTGAGGAAGCTAGTGATAATGATAACGTATGGCAGAGTGCTTGTCCTTTTTGACAGCCTCAGTAATTTAATACTCCTTTCTTGCCACAATATTTCAGTAAGAGAAACATCTAGACCAGTGGACTGGAGAAAATCCCCAGCCTGAGGAGTGTGCGTGAGTGCTCTGAAAGGCTTTTATTGTTTTCATTTAAAATACAAACACAAGGACCAGCTTTTAATATTTTTATCATTAATATGACCTACAGTGAAAAATAGCCTTGGTTTGGAAAAAACACTAAGAATGAGAAACAGGGTTTTAGGAAATTCTCTAAGAACTTTTTGGGCATCTTATATTAACAAAGTAGCTGGTTTCTTGCAAATGGTAGCAGCCTTCAAGTATCAGTAAACCACAGTGAAAGATTATACAAATTCAGGAAGTGAAAATGGAAAAACAGTGTTAAAGGAATGTTTTTTTTTTTCCTCCAAAGAAAAAAATGCAGCTAAAACAACTCTGGTAGGACGTAACTAGAATGAGTATAACCCTCTAAGAAACAAACAAGTCTTTAAAGAACAGTTTTCTTTTGTTTTTGAGGGCAGGAGGAGGAGCTAGAAACCTGTCTGACTTTAAATTCCAAGATCTTTAATATTCACATGCCTCACTCTTTTTTAGTTACTCTGCCACTGTACTCACACACATTCTTTTTCATTCTCCACATCACATTCATGTTTCCTTTTTCTCTGTGCTGACAGAAATATTTATTTCCTCCTCTTTTCTATTACCCAAAATGAACTTATTTGTATAAACAGAAATGATCAGTTCTATCAAGAAGGAGAGAGTACTGGAATACAGGAGTATGGAAAAGAGATAAGGCAGCTCAAGTAATTCCTTGTTAAGGGATTTACAGAAAGACGGATCTCTATACAAGTTCTTCTAGGAAGCACATCTTGCAGAGCCAGTGGTTCAGTAGGTTTCTCCAAAGCTGCTCCTCAGCTCTTACCTGGCCAGCAGAATCACTATTAAAACTTAGTTACTTTCAGAAAGCCATCACTTACAATTGGTGTCTGAATTACTCAGCCAAAGGAATCTGCAATTTAACACCCTTTTTTCTGCTAACAGAAAGCAAAGCGTTGGTGCTATACCTTGGAATCCTTAGTTCCCACATTCTTACTTTCTTTGACAGGTTGGAAGAAGCTGTTACTGGCATCTGCTATTCTTTTGGGCATGTGGATGACTTTCCACATGTGCTACTCTCATGGCCAAGTGCTCCTGGGGCCATCACAGGAAGTGATGAGGAGGCAGCAGGGAGACAGATGGACAGCCAAAGAACTTCAAAGGACCTGCCACATCAACAGATTCTTCTCCTTCCCCATACGCATCCCAAATGGAATTTCCAAAATTCAGTAGTTCTGTATCTCAGTTTTAAATGGCTATTATTTACAAACCTAAAGAGTTTGAATTCATTTCACTCAAAAAAATAATTCAGACTAGAAAGTAAAACACTCAACACAAAGGCTCCATTCAAGTTGGGGGAAAATGATTAACCATAGTAAAAATAGAATTTTTAGATCCAGATGAATAACATGCTATCATATCACACCTTAGCACTGCCTGAATTGCTCCGAGGCACTGAACATCTATTTCTATTCAATTAATTGCAAAACGCATTCAGAAGTAACTTGTGACAGTTTGTACCTAAAATTATAATTGTAAAGTTTTTCCTAAAGAAGCACTAAAACTTGCAGATTACAATGATCCTGGAACCCTGTTAAAAATCACTGCAATTCCAAACATTAACACAGCTGGTTCTGTCATAGCATAGTTTTATATAGTTCACTTCCTAACAAAAGTAAATGGCTACGTGATGAAGCAGAGTTTCATCAAAATTATGAAGAAAAAAGGCCTCATACAGTGCTGAACCTTAATGGAGAAAAGGAATAAACACAAATAAGTGTAACAATGTCTTCTGATGACAGGCCTTAACATTTCCATTTGGGTTACACTAAGGAATCCATCTTTTAGAATTTGGATATCCAAAAGTTTATTTTTATAAAAAATAAGCCCCATCATTTTTTCCCCCAGCTCTCTTTCCTTTGGTCTACTTACACCTGTAATTCAAGGTGTTCAAATAACCACCTGTTCATTCAAAAGAGAAAGCTTTCCAATTAAATGGCATACAAAACCTTTGCAAAATTTCACGTATTATCCTTGTCCTTCTGCTGCCTATTCTTTAGAACCATTATATAAAGGGATAAGGATACACTTCACACCTTCTATCAATCTTACGTTCTCCTAATTTTCTTGCCATCTGAGCGTTTTTTTCTGGTCAAGTCTTTGTATTTAATAAAATACGAATGCTTTTTTTTAACAACATTTATGAAATAACTTTTCCTTCATAACTTGAGTAATACTGACTTTGACAAGAAAAATGTTTATTTTACTGAAATTAAGAGTCCAATATCAATAGATGCATTTATATGTGAGGGAAGCTGGACTTTGTTTGCTTGGAGCAACAGGTTTACCTATGTTTTTCTGACTGAAACTGCCATTGCATTCACTTTAAAGCACATATGGTGACATGACTAGAAATAAGTAATTTCTATCACACAATTTGATACCGCATAAAAAGGTTAAAATATGAATTCATTCCTTATTATGATCAAATCAAAGAACCCATTAAAAATTCAGAATTCTTTATTTTTACCAAATTACAGGATAGCCATGGTGAGAGTGCAATTTGGCAATTTCCACTCTTCTTTGAATTCATGTGACTGTAGTGCTTAGAAACATTCTTGGATATTCTATTAACTCCTTCCACCACTAATAAACATAACAGCTCCTCTTCTCAGTCAGTAGGACCATCAGTATCATAGATTCACAGAATGGTTTGGGTTGGAATGGACCTTGAAGACCACCCGGTCCCAATTCCCCTGCCATGGGTTCCTCAAAGCCTCCCCGAGCCTGGCCTTGAACATTTCCAGGGATGGGGCATCCACAGCTTCTCTGGGCAACCTGTGCCAGTGCCTCACCACCCCCTCTGGGAAGAACTTCTTCCTGATGTCTACTCTAAACCTCCCCACTTTCAATTTAAACCCGTTATCCCTTGTCCTGTCACTACAGACCCTTGTAAAAAGTCCCCACCAGCTTCCTTGTAGCCCCTTCAGGTACTGGAAGGCTGCAATAAGGTCTCCCCCAGAGCCTTCTCCTCTCCAGGCTGAACAAGCCCAACTCTCCCAGTCTGTCTTCATAGCAGAGGTGCTCCACCCCTCTGAGCATCTTCGTGTTCTCTTCTGGACTCAGTAGATATAATACTTAATGCCTTGGGAAATCAACAGTTATACAGTGTAACTGTAGAGCGTACAGATCTCCCATTCAAGTTTCTGTTACAAGACCTTGGAAGAAAGAAAGTGATCTTCTAACCATTCCTAGCCAACAAGTTCTGGTCAAAGCAAACAATTAATGTCAAGTTACATGTCTAACCATTTGTGAAAAGGGAAATTCATAGGATCTTCTATGCACAGAATAATGGAGTTCTCCTATATTGTTTTTCAGCAAGATTCCATTAATCTTCTGGTATCTTACAAATCAAGCAGTGACAGCAAAGGATGTGCAAAAGGTATGGAAAAACTTCAGGTTTTTTTAAGCAACAAATCTCATGAAGCCTTATTTATTAGTTAATATGCTTTTAGAACAGTCAAGCTGTTCCAGTTATAAATAATATTAAATATTTTATTTATAAGATTAATAATTTTTTAGATTACTTATGTAGTTATCCTGATTTTCTCCATGTAAAAACCTAGAAGACTTAGTTTCCTTCTAAGGTCAAAGTAAATTTCTTTCTACCCATGAAAATCTCATTTTTATTAAAGAAAATATTCAATTAACCTCAAATATTCAACATGCTCAAATCTAATTAGAAATGAATAAGAGATGCAGTAAAGCTATAGTAAACACTCATGCAGATTTCATTACTATTATCTTAGTGGCTTTCCAACTGACATTATCAAACAGCAGACTCATTAGATTTTTCTTCTCCTTTATGCAAAGCTAATCTTGAGTAGAAATTAGATGACCAATTATCTAAGCAAAACTCTGCAAATAACAACCATACTGGTATTATGCTGCAGAACACGATCCTGAAGCAACTAAGACCAAAACCACCTCCTGATACGAATTTGTTAGTATAGATTAAAGTTTAAACAGTTCTGTATTTAATACTTAAGCAGCAAATACAAAAATCAGTTGTCAAGCCCAGTTTTGACTACCAGAAATAGTATGATACAGCACTACCAGACTGGAAAGCCTTATGAATTACAGTCTCTACAAAGCATGTTACTATTTTCAAATATCACAGCTTGAAATATTTCTGAGTTTTATAACATTAAGAGTCTGAAATTTTTTTCTGTATCCATCATAAAGTAGTGAAACACAGCAGAGTCAATACTTAAAAAATTAATATGCTTAGACCATTCTCAATATACACAGGAATCAGAATATGGCATAAGAATCTTTATACTTTCTGAACACTTTCTTTATACTTTCTGAATGTAAGAAATTCAGGGAGAATTCAAGAAACAATAGAAATTAAAAGTGTTAAATGCCTTTTATTGGCTTATGGTGTTATTCAAAGCAGGTTTTAAAAAAATTATTTCAACTACATCTGCCAATCTAGAACATTTGGAAAAGTGTTTACAGCAGCTCAAGATGAGTATTGTCCAGTTCATAACAAGAGTTCTTACTTGTCTGATGTCTCATTTAGTATATGAAGCCAAAAATCCCATTTGTTTGAATGCAAATAAGCCTTAGTGAGTGAAAGAGTTTGCAGTGCCATTAGTTTTTGTGTTTTTGTGGGTTTTTTTGTTTTGTTTTGCTTTGTTTATCCCTAAAGCCTTACAGAAAGATTACTGTCTTTCTCAGAGTCACAGAAGTTAGCACATTCTGCCCTGTCCTCTACATTCTCTCTCAAATGGGCATTCCCACTATAGTGATGGTTGATAGGACAGCTATGAAGGATTTCATTCTTCAACTATGAGGTAACCCAATAGGTTGATTATTAGGAGGATTTAATGAGTAAATTCTCTGGTAAATCTCTTTCTAAAATCAGGTTTCTAGACAGTAGGAATTTTAAAGATCTCACTCTGACACCACTTTTGGAAAGCCACTTTTACAAAATTATTCTGAAGGAATGCTTAATTTGAATGTCTTATTCGTGGTGTGTCACAAATAGCAAAAAATTGAAGTGCTCCAGGAGTCTCTCAGCTAAAAATACAATACTTAAAAAGTCCAAGACAAAAATGAAGCACTCAGACTGAATCCTAAATGAAATAGACATAAAAAAAAAAGTTAATAAATACTTCTTTTCCCAGCTATTTCAATTAACAAGAGAACTATCAATTACTGCAATAGTTCTGTGTATGCAGCTAGTGTAAATTACATGGTGTATTGACATAAAGTATTTTCAAATGTTCATTTATTAGAGAATGGCATCAGAAATAGCAGGGTTAAATATTATGAAATCACAGAATGGTTTGGTTTGGAAGGGACCTTGAAGACCACCCAGTTCCAACCCCCTGCCATGGGCAGGGACACCTTCCACTAGACCAGGTTGCTCAAAGCCTCATCCAGCCTGGCCCTGAACACTTCCAGGGATGGGGCATCCGCAGCTTCTCTGGGCAACCTGTTCCAGTGCCTCACCACCCTCTCCATGTGGAATTTCTTGCTCATATCCAGTCAGAATCTATCCCCTTTCGGTTTAAACCCGTTACCCCTTGTCCTATATCTACCTGGTCTTGTAAAAATAAGTAGCTACGTATTAGTATTAAACATGGCGAAATAATTTCTTATTTAAAAAAGTTCTTGTTAGAGAACCACCAAGTATTGCTGAGTGATGATCAAGTCCAATTACACATTTTCTCTTTTCAACTGTATTTTAGTTCTACATGGTTACATGGAATGTTTTTCTTTTGCTGCATCATCATGTATTGATAGAGAAATCATGTCATCATTTTCTTCTAATATGAATATATAGATTTTAGTGATGTACAGCCTAATTTTAAAATTTATGTGCTAGCAGCATATTTAATTATGTTGTAATCTTAGCATTTCATACACAAGCCTACTTTAATAATTCATTTTATACTCGATAATCGCATCCTTACCTCATTGATTAAAACCAACACTGAATATTTCCCAAAATCTTTGAGAAATAGATAAATACAATCAGTTCACAGATAAATGAAACTATAATATATGTATAAGAAGTAGGCTTTATTGGCAAGCATTTTCCTAAGACAGAATTTATGAGAAGAACCAAGCCTGCCCAGGAATACATCATACTTACCAGTGTTAAAGTTGTAGTGAATCGTCTGACCACTTGCTGGTTTTCGAAGTGACAGTGGGGTCTCCTTTTCAAGGACATTGTATAATCTGCATTCTACAAACAGCTGCTGGATTGTTTCATCCAGTGTAATTCGTGACTCAGTAAGACAAAGTGATAGAATTTCAATCCGGATTTTTTCAGTGGCCTATTTCAAAACAAAGCACAAACGTAATACAAATTACTTCGTGTTTCTTGAATTGTTAACAGAAAACAAACATACATGTAAATCATTGGCTATTTTGTATGATGAACACTCATTGATTTTGACAAAACCACAGTAAGATTCTGAAGCCCCAGGGTTTGTAGTTATGAAAATTGTTGCAACAAATACTGATTTACACTTGGTGTTGAAAATATTTTTGCAATGGTCCTACTCTGCTGGAGAAGATTAAGTTAAGGTTATCTTCATGTACAAATTACATCTGAACCACGAATTTCAGTTGCCACTATTTTTAGCTACACAGCAGAGTGATTTGTATCTTGATCCTGTAACTGCTGGAAACAGACTCAGTAATCTTGGATTCTGAAGTTTTCCGAATGAAAGAGGATTGTTAGATTCAGTGCCTACTGTAGACTGTACTGCAAATAGTTCAATAAAAAACCATCAAGTCACGAACTAGTTAGGCATGTAAAGTAACACTGTTTTTATATGGAATTCAACTTCATATACTGGTCTTTTCTAGTTAAATCAAATATACATTTAAAAGTTAAAACTAGCAATGCGATAATAAAAGCAATATTCCAAGTGTTCTTCACCAGAGCCTTTTCTTATTATCTTTAACTAAAATGACATTTTTTTGTTGCTTAGATGAAATTGTTTCATAATATTTGGCAAAGTCTGTATTATTTGCATACAGATAAATTTTAATAAGCTTTACGTGTTTAAATGGAAATGTCAGTCTCCAGAGAAAGAGTCACAAATATTTCCCTAGGTGACTCTGTGATTCAAAGAAAGAAAAGCCACTACGGTGTCAAAATTGGAGAATATAGGTGAGCATTCAAAGATGAGAGTCTTCAAAGAGCAAACAGAACATGTTGGAGTTCAAAAATGCCTTTTTTTAATTTTTTTTCTTTTTTTTTTTTTACTTCTGCCTTTTTGGGTTCATAACTTTATTAAAAATATTCTTCCTATAGGAAATATTTCCTATGGGGAAATATTTTGACAATTTTTGATTGTAAACTTAAATCACTTGAAGTAATAAATTATATTCCAAAGATTTGCTTTCTAGATTTACTGTTAGAACTGCAAGTCAATGAACTGCAAGCTAGTATGCTAATTTATTATGGAGTAAGATTATATTTTTCCAAGCAAATTATATAATTAATCAAACTGAAAAGCAGGTGTATCCTATTGTAAAAATATCCATCATACAGAACAATTTCCATTGCTGTCAAGCCCTTTCAATATTTGATGAAGTAATTTTACCCCCTCCTCTCGAAAGACATTTTCTTTTATTATGTATCCTAAGACACTTTAACTAAAAACCCAAATCTGAATATTTCAATAAGGTTGTTTTATTATTCAGTAGATTCATGGAAATTTTACTAGGATGACAGAAAATTCCACACCATTCTGTCTCCACTAATACAGGTACATGGCTTCAGCTGGCAATATTACTGGGATTAGCATAGAATGATGAAATATTTAAAGGAATTTTTTTTTTCCTAAAATCTAATAAATCAAATGACTGCCAAATGTCATTAAAGTGATGGTCTTTGACTTGAATATGCTTTTCATATTCAAATTTGAAAAGAAAGAGATGAAAGCCTGGAAAGGTTACTCAGTTTCAACTAATAACCTCAAGCACTCTACATTCACATGCATAAAAAATGAAATTGGCTCTATTGTCTAATTTTACTTCAGAAACAACTCTTTTCTTCTTGCATTGAACAGATGTATTAGCATCTGTATTTAAAGTGATACGCTGAGTGGTTTTGTTCGCCCCAAAGTATTTAGCAGCTATGTCAACCTAGTTTGTACACAGACAGTAGTTTATGAATCAAGTCCAAATATAATATCCTGTATTATGAAGTATTCCTTTTACATATCTTAAAATTTGTTTGACACATTTAACACTTGTAATTGCATATTGTAAGCAAAGAATATTACAGATTTTCTAAGGAGAGCAGGGTAAATCCAGGTGTTCTGCTTTCTAACAAGCTGAGCAAACAACTGAGTCATACTATTAGAAAACTGTAGGAAAAAAAATATTACTTCACAGCTAAATGGTCAAAAGTATTTTAAGGCTTGGTTTTATTAATATTAAACATGAATAGAGCATATACAATAGAAAACAAAAGTTGATTAAAAAAAGCACTTACAAATAAAAATACAGGACTGCTTTAGAACAGCACGGTTAGCATGACATATTTCACTGCTAACACAAAAACACTCATATTATGTAGCCATGCTGAAAATACATGTTGCATCCAATATATGATAGGAATTAATTTTTAAACAACCTTTTGTATTTCTGTGATGCAGAGGGAATTACGTTATTCAAATATTTTTCTACGCTATTGCTGGTTTTTTTTTTTTTTTTTTTTTAAATCTTGGTCTCTTATTACCATTCAAGTGAAAAATGGATAGTTTGTCATGACCAATTACTTTCCACAAATCATTCTACTTTGATGGGAATAAAATTATTCTTTGAATTTAGTATTTAAAACAAAATATAATATGAAATTTCCTCTAACAGAGAAACTAGATGGGTCTATTAAAATGCAGACGAGTAAATGCTTTCAAGGAGTGTCTGAGAAACTGGTTTGGTGCATCCCCTTCAAGTAAGGAAAACAAACACTGACAAGACACTTATTCTATGGCAATAGTCTTTCTTCACCATATAATATTGATTCTTTGCAATTAATACTACCCAGAGATTTGGAAGTCACTGAATTCTTAACAAGCTTGAGGATTAGGTTAAGTACTAAATGTATTGGACACTACGTCAGAATTTGAAGTCCCAACATAACTTTTGTCATCTTTCTGATGTCTGAGATTAAAAACAACTGTTAGGGTTTTTTTTCTCCATAAAGAGTCTTGACTGCTACCTTCAAGAAGCTGTATATTCCATACTTCAATTTTCTTTTTGGTCACAATAAAATGCAAAGACTTTGATGTGAACAATAAAACCCCAATTGACTCAAATGATCCACAAGAGCATCCCACAGAATTAAGTGTTCTACAAAAGAAGAGTCTGTGCCTTCTGCACAGAACAGCATCATTGAAAACGTCTTGCTTATAGGAACAATGTAAACAGTGTTCCTACATTTTACATTCAGTTTTAACTTATATGTTGCTCTTGAAGAACTCAAAGGAAACTCATTCAACTTGAATCCTGTTTTTGCCGATGCTCAAAAATATTTAAGCTGTACTCCTTAATATTTTATGTATTTATTTCCACAGTCCACTCACCTACTTGTTCCCTTCTACTTCAAGCACAAAGCAGATAAACTATAAGCTCTTGTCCAATAATCACAAATAATCATCCATTTGCTATCAATGCTTCAAGCACTATTAATATTACTTGAGTGACATATATATTTGTTGTATTAGAAAGTATCCTCTGCCTCTAAAAAGTGCCAAATTCCTGTGATCATCCCATTAACAATGTCCCAACAGAGCTATAAAGCAATGCTATCACAGGAATGTCAATCTAATTTACCTGTTCAGAGACATAAACATTACTCGTTAAGCAATTATGATTAACAGGGAAACATATTACACAGAAATACATATTACAAAAAATTATTCTAGTCTTCAACTGTATGCGGTGTTAGGAACAACATCTACAATTTTTAGATTTTCCCACCAATGGTGCAGATGTGAGAATAGAAAGAGGGATATGGCAATGCTCCCTGTTCCTTCTCCAAACGGATGGGAGTTAACAGAAGTGCACGCACTTTAGACTCTCCCAAAGACCTAGGGCACAAAGATGTTTCCTTGTTCAAGGGCTTTATTGGAGCTGGATTTACTCTAAGGAGGGAAAGGCACCTGTAAATTTCCCCTAGCAGCACTCTTCTCTGCTAGGAGGAGAAGGCAATGGTGCAAGGTTAGTGCCATAATAAGGCTCGACACAAACCCACCAGCTCTGACTAGAATTAAGAACACACTAAAGAAAAGAAATCTAATTGTGACAATAAGTATGTCTCTGGCTGCTGTCATTTTATCTAGTGCAGAGTCCAAATTGCTCATTTTCAAAGCATGAACTCATCTTAAATATTGTCAAAGGCATGAATTTCTTTGCTTGAAATAATTCAGTGATTAAATATGGACTCTTCTATGCAAATCTGTAACATACCCATCAATGCATTGTTTTTTTAAGAAAAGACAATTTTTAATTCAGTATAAAACACCAAACATTTTGGAAAATACCAAGCTCCTGAGGGATCTGAAGCTTTCCCACCATGACCAGGACAGCTATACATCTGAGCTTAAAAGTCACATTTGCACTTTGCTCATAATACAACTTTTGATCACCTCAATAATATACTTTCTTCCCATCAAAAACGGCTTGCCTCCCCTACTCTTTCTGGAGATTAAAAATAAGATTGTTCAATGTTTCTCCTGAAGTTAAATTGTTTTTAAAGATCTGGTTTTGCAACTTGCCTGTGGCACTGCCCCAACTAACAACTTCCAAAGATAAAAACTGTTTCTAGGGATGAGTAAACATAAAAACCCAAATGTATCTGGAGCTGTTTGACTCATGAGATACCAACTTCCTTAACTCTTGAGTTTATTTTCTCCCCAGGAAGTGGGGAAGGCTACATAAGCAATATTGTTACAGTCCTGAACCAAGCCACACCCCTCTCTCTCCCAGATCATCTCAGAGGGGACATTCTAGTGTTTAAATACTTCCTATTGATTATACTAGCAGATAAAATTGAATCCAAATAATGACCTTAACAGATCTCAAAGCCAGCCAGCTACATCAGTACCTAATTTAGTAATTCAAATGCTCCCTCAACTTAAAATTACCTTTCATTTCAAAAGGAAGCATGATCCTTAGATAAATAGGCATGAAAGACTGAAAATTTCTTGACAAAAAGAGGTCTTACTCTGTACATTTTTGGTATGCTAATACATGTCAACATTTAAGTTACAGAAATAAGATGAAATAAGTAGCAGTAATATGTAAAAAACTGAACAAATATAATCTGATTTCTGCTTTTGTATGTATCTATGCATGCATTCTTCTACACGTGGATCACAGACCTATGGTTTGATTGAAAATAAAATAAATTTTAAAAATCTTATTTGAAAGTTAATTCATTTAGAAAAAAAACCCTTAGTATGGGAAGAAAGCTGAAGCATCAGTATAGTATTTTCATCTGTTAAGAGTCCATCTGCAGTGAAAAAAACAATATACCAAATTGCAAATTTTTATACAGCTCTTATTTAGAACTGTAATACTTAACATTTGATACTGTTCCTCCCACATCACCATGCCATTAATGTTGTGTGGGGGCAATATACACATGCAAAAATGAATGGAATTTGATTCTCTCTCGTATTACTGACAGTGTGAAAAAAATTATACTTGGTAACATACATCACAGCTAATCAAAACCCTAATTTAGTTTCAAATCCCATCCTTTTCTTTTTAGACTTGCAGTTATAAAAATACTCCTTTTTCCTTGTAAAGTCACCGTAACTTACTTGCATGTCAATGAGCTCTGATAGATACAGTCTCTCAGGTAAGCAACTGAGGAGCATTCACATTCATAACAATAAAAAATATTACCAGCTAGGTTCAAAATGGCTCCTGTTGATGCTTTTCCTGTGGGCTTATGCACTCAGCCTTAAATCTGACATTCTGTTTTATATTCTGACTAATTAGTTTTATTTGTTACCTAAAACGTAATGGGTACCTAGTGACTTAAGATTCCCTTCATTTGAATCATTTTAAAAGCTGGTGTTTGGGGCTGTTTTAGTGTTGCTTCTCCCTCTTCTTTCAGTTCTTCCATCAAGAAGAATGACTTGTAGTACATGCTATTAATTAATTATTACTTTAAAGTATATTTGACAAGTGCTACAAGTTTTAAATCCATCATTTCAGTGTACTGTCTATTCAAACGACCACCACCTCAAACTTTATCAGTGGCAAAAGACAATTTAGTATTTTCCTGGATTCTTCAAACTTACTTTTACTTTAGTTCCTAATAGTGACTGTAGTATGAAAGAATCACCTGAAAGACGCAGAACGGGAAATGGTCTTTTTTAATCTTAGACCCCTCAGTAGCCTTTGAAAATATTGACTATGAAGCTTTAATAAGGTACTTTTATCTTCCTCTGATTTTATTTTCCTCTTGTTTTATAAATATTAGTATGTGAGGCACACTTACTTCCCCAAATGCAGATACCTCATAAGAGGAAATACACTGGTCAAATAATTGTACAAAAAAGACATAATAACAGGAAAATTATTTAATGCATTGCTATATATAAGCTTACAAGCTCCTTTACATCTTTCCACCTCTGCAGAAACATGTTTCATTGACCAGCAGACCCCAAGTGATTGCTATTGTTTTTTAATGGTGTCTAAAGAGAGATTAAGACCTTAATTCACAGGAAATGATGACAGTTTTCAATAAACTGCTATTAGCACAAGCTAATGCACTCACAGTATCTGCAACAAAAAATAGAGACTTAAACACCTATAGAAAAAAAACAGAACCACCACCAAATAAATTAGGTTTTGCCAGTAATTTCCTTATGGACACATTTTAAGACAACTTGGAAGCCGACATCAGTAAATTTTATTGTGATAACTGAATGCTGTATTATGTCCTGTAAGGATACAGTGTAGACATGAGGGGGAAAGGGAGGAGGGGATGGAAGAAGAGATTTTTTTTTTTAAACATATTTTTTTAAATATAAAGCCATGCCAAAGAAAATGCAAATTCCCAGTTTTGATGTCTATTTTGAGGATCTGAAACAAGGCTTTTAATCAATGTATTATACATCAAATTGATAATGTTAACTTCTGATTATTCAAATGTATGAAATATTCATAGAGAACTGTCCAAACTTTTACATTTCTCAGACTTCTTTTCTCTATTAATTATCATGCCTGGAAGCTTTTTAGTAAAAGCAGCAGCCATCAGCCTGACTGAACCTGACAAGCTAGCAAGGCCCAATTACACTGGCACTCTGTGGCACTTTGATGTACTGGAAACGAAAAGAGATAGGGGCAAATTGTATAGCACATTATGTTAATGACTTGATTTAATCCAGCCACTAAACTTTATGTAGCCTGTTAAAAAAGATGCTAACACTAATTACGCCACTTTGGAAAGGAAAGAAGGGGACAAGCATTTCATACCGACAAAGTGAAGCTCATAAATGTTGTAAATGAAATGAAACAAAATGAAGTAATCTATGATTAATTATACATCATAGACAAGAAGAAAAGAGAAAGAAGCAAGTGGTACAGCTAAGTACTGGAAAATCTGTTAGATACCCCTTATGATCAACATATCTAAGAAATAACCATGAACTGTCTAATTTGCAACATGCAAAAAAGTAACAGTATGATCTTAAATGGCTTAAACAGTTTGGCATGCAACTCAGATTTATAGGATAATTAGCATAACGATCTCTAAAAATCACAAGTCTTATTTACAGTGCTTGATTACCAGCAGGATATTTATCTAAAAGATAAAAGGCACTGATTTTTAATCTTAAATAAATAAAACTTCAATCACACTTTTCACATGCTGTATTCTACATTTAACCCAAGATTTCAAATATAATAATGCCTATTTTTAAAATCCAATATCAAACATGGTGCCTTCATAGTTTATAGCTTCTGTTGTCATATCTACCCTTCGTGAACATGCACTGTGTTACGAGAGGAACAGATCAACAGAGAGAGGTAGAAATGAATGAATCTGAAATGAATCTACATTCAAAATCCTCTCAGAAATGGTCTTAAATAATTCTGAGAAAATAAAATACAGAATGATTATAAATACATAGATCAACCGTGTTATCATTTGACTTAATGGTGATGAGTAGCAGTCATATTAGTTCTCAACATTACAGATGAAAATTTTTTAGAATTTACATATAAAACAATTAAATTCAAAAGTACCTTCTTTAAGTCTCCGCAGCGTATACTGGTGATAGCACTTCTAAATGGCTCCTACAGCTTAAAAAGGAGCACTATTTCTCATACAAAGCATTGCTTCTTGTTGCTAGTTACTTTGTAAGATGTCACACGGCATTCAAAACCAGATAAAACACCCCCATAACTTCATACTACCTCTAGGTATTGCAGAACAACAAAAAAGGTAAGACTTGACAGGATATAACCAGTATACTCCCAGTCCTTTAACAACCAAGACAGACTAGAGAACTATCAACTGTTACAATTACTAGTTATATTTTTTAAGAATGACCAGTCAACATTAGAACTAAAAATATGAAACTTTTTTTTTTTTTGGAGAACTATACTATTTAAATGCTGCTCAAAGGAAATTTTCCAAATTTGTATTATGCTGTATTTTGTTATTTTGCATATATGACTTCACGCTCATTAGTTGCTGGTTTTAAGAACAAATAAAAACAATATCATTACTGTGTGTGTCCACAAATAATACCAGAAAAAGAAGTACCTTGAAGTGATTAGATACTGCAGAATTTACAAAACTTACTCAAAACTGATTTCTGTTCTAACACTGTTGGGAAGTCAGGAATCTGTGTGGATGAACTAGAAAATATGTGCAAGGTTTGCATGTTACTATATCACATGTAAAATATGGTCAAGTTTACTTTTTTCCCCTCTGTGAAAAGGTGTCTATTTGAACCAGAAACCATGTATTTGTTGAAAATGCCTTAAAATAGACCTTAGATATAACAAAGCTACTCTGAGAAGAAATTAGGCTTAAAATACTTTTCTTAGAGTATTTGTGGCAATTATTTGGCAAGTCTGACTCACCTGTTTAACAGTCTTGGATAGTGGAGTTGAAACAATACACTCATCACTGTCAGTTACTATTGATTCAATGCCATCATTTTCTTGTCCATCAACTTGATCTGGGGGAGAGGAGGGAAATCAATGTAGTTAAACCCCCTATATTTGCAGTTCATCTGAGACTTGCTGAGAAATCTGATAGCAATATATTTGCTTTTCTAATAAATAAAGTACAAGTGCCAGGTAAATCTTCTCTTCCTTGCAGAAGATTAACACTGGCAAATCAATGATGTTTAAAGTCTAAAGCGCATTTTTTTGATTTGCTAAAAATTAGTAATGTTTCCCAGACGAAAGTTTATGTGCGGAATGATACAAGTCCTGTGATGAACTGAAGCATGAACAGTTAGTTTTATATAGGAATATTTGTGGATTGCCTCTGACTGTGTTTAACACCATACGCATGTAATGAAGAAGGTAGCTCTGTTTGCAGGTAGATTATTTTCTAAAGCATTCAGGTCTTTTTTCTCTGGAGAAAACTACTTATAAACATAACAGGGATTCAACAGCATATTTTTCCCAGTTTTTCTAAAGAATTCTTATGCAGAAGCTGTAAACAACTGAACATATAATTTAAGCATTCTGCTTGTGCATTTACTTTAAACTTTGTATCGTGGACTTGGTTTGTTTCAATGCTAAACAATTTAAACTCAGAGGTGGAACAGGATAACCTGGCTTTTATAATCTTTTAATAAATCTGCCTTTAACAACTTTATGTCACAGACGTGATAAGACAAACTACCCCTCTCACTGTCTGAAAGGATTTCCGATATCAGCACTGGCTGTTATCTGCAGACAAAAGGAGCATATTCATTAAAATAGTCTTTAGAACAGCACAGTTCTGAGGAAGAATATAAAGGCATTTAAAATGGAAGCCAGGTTTCCTTTAATATTTTATGAATCTAGGTCAAATACCAGATTTTTGCATTCAATTACAATGCAGTTTCCATTTGGGAAGAAAATAACACCACCATATCCACCACCCAGCTTCAGCTGTAAAGTACCCCAGAATATCATTTCTGTCATGATGCTTCTCATAATGAGGAAGCTCCTACTGCTAGTAAGAAATGCTTAAGAAAATGGAAAGAGACATAGATGTATTAAGAAAATACAGTTACTTATTAATAAAAATGAATTCTACCTTCTGGTTCCAATTCTTCTCCTATGTCTGTCTCAGAGCTCTGGTCAGCCAAATGCCCCTCTGAGACATGTGAGGGGTCTTCTTTTTCCTGTTGAATTTCTTCAGCCATTTCCTTCACCTTTTCATCTGCTAGCCTTTCTTGTTTAACCTCTTGTACCACATGCTATATAAAAATAGATAAACTTACAGTCTTTATAACACTCCTTGAACAGGCAGTTACTGAAGTTCACAACTTTAAGAGTTACAGCTCACATTCCTTGTACATAGTCTTTTAACAATTATATTGCTTATGCAGTGCAGGAAACAATGAGAAGTTGTCAACTCCAGTAACAAATAATTGATACAGCAGAAAGACAATTCTCTAACAATGTATATTTGGGAAAAGATAACTATCATAATCATTTGGTACCTGTCAACATACATACAGACTTTTAGATTTCCAGATTCATATATATTTCAGTTCTTTCAGTTCTACAAGACTCAGTTTAAAGAATACAACAAAACCACCACCACCACCTTACTCAGTTGGCAATTTTCTAACTTGAATTATACAGTATTTTCTGTTTCAAAAGCAAGCTCAAATCCTATAAAAAAGAGTCAGCTTTGCTACAAAATACAAACATCTTATCTAAGGTAAAATATATTTAGTGCATAACTTATTCTGAAATAATCTTCTTCCCTTTGTTCTCTTCGAGCACAATGACACAGAATAATACCTCACCAATGGATATAACATTACAGACACAGCAACTTCCATGGAAATTTGCTGGAGACCTATGTATTATTTATTATCCAACAAATCTTCTCTAGGACTGAATTTTCCACTGAGACACTAATGCTTCACCTCTTACCCTCAGAATCCAATGGATAACTTCCAGCTTCCACAGAACACCTGGGTTTACCAAATGTGAATCTGAAGAGTTATTTCTATTCTACACATTTGGAGCCACACAAAGCCAAGCCATGTTACACACTCAAGAGCCTTAGTCTATAAATAAAGGATACCCCCGAAGTTTTCTAGACGTAGAAAACTGACTTTGTCTCTCTTATGCTTTTCCTCGGAGCAGATGATGTCATTATAACTGACAATGGCCATTCTTTTTAATCCCTTCAGTGACAGAGATGCATTTTGTGGATAAAGTTTTCAGAGAGAATACTCTTTGATTATTCAAGTTGACCAGTACCACCTGATGTGGTGGAAAGGAGACATAACTTCTCAACCAAAGCCCCAGGTGAGCTTTAAAGCAGAAAAGTGAAAGGATGATAATAGCCAGTGATTATAAATGTGTTACAACGCTAGAAACTACACTTTGTCAATTTGCCACAACTTACTTTCACAACCAATTGGACTGTTACAAATTACAATATTTAGTACTTTTCTTTTCCTTGGAGTGCTACATTTTAGCAATATTCCCAAATTCCTTTCTTCATTTCCCTCAGCTATATAATGGTAATTTTTAAAGGTAAAACAAAAATAAACTTCATCCCAAGAAAAGGAAATAAGAAGATATTCTCAATGACCAGAAAAAGAAGATTGTCATCACATGGAATCACTTTTTTCATATTTTGGTGAAATTCTTGAGATCTTACTTTACTGTAGCTTGTCTTTTGGTCCACGATAACATGCACAAGGAATTCAAAGGTAATATATTAATCTATAAAATCATAAAACCTGAATAATCTCATACCTCTGAAACACTTGGAACTGTTGAAGCCTTCATCTTCTGTGTAAGTTCCACGCTATTTTCAACAACAGAGTCCTAAGTAATGAGTAAATTAGGGGGAAGCCTTTAACATACAGTAGATAAATAATACACAAAAGTAGGTACAAATTTACTGGTGGAGAAGCATTTGGGGAGAAAATTTTTGTCCTCCTTTGCTTCCTTGTATTAGCATTACTGCTACTAAAGACTTCTGATGGAGACCGAGTAGCTGTCTCCCTCAGAAAATCCTAGTTTGTGAAAAAATTTTCAACTTGGAGCGTTACTGTTTGTACAGTTGAAGATATGTTGTATTGTATCCCCAACCTATATGTCATACTATCATTCACTGCCTGGGACATCCCAGTCCTGTGTTGCTAAAGCAGTTGTGTGTTCTCGACTACTTGTTCTACAAACTGTCTGTTCTGAGACATAAGTAGTGTATTGTGATTCAACATAAACATGCAAAATACTTAAAACGTATCGCCATCGGCACTGTACTACGATCCAGAAAACATACTTTCTTGTCTGCTTGAGCCACATGCTGCCTTGGTTTGGGTGTGGGTTTCTGTAATGAAACAAATAGAGCTGAAGACCATTTATTGCCATATTCTAACCATCTCATTTTACAATAAATTTTGAGGGACCCTGATTTTTCTTGAAGCCAAATATAACCGCACTTAATTCAATTCTAAACAGACAAGATTATTTAGGTGATGGTTCAATAAGCAGCACCCCACCCCCCCCCCCCCCCCCACTCCCCCAGATGGAAATGAAACCTTTCCAATTTCAGCCACAAATGGGTATAAAACTCTACAGAACATCTATGGAAGGTGACTTCCTGGTGAGAAACAGGACTGAAGTCAGTGATATCATATATCTGACAGAATGATTTATTATTATTGTTTATGGAGTGCTTGATGACTTTCCTTTTCTCTAGGTAAGCTTACAGGGTTACCAGATCTTTGTCACCTTTCCTCATCAAATTCCCTTTGGAGAATTTTAACATAGAAACAGAAAGGCATGTGGTAATAGTTGCAAAACGATCCAGAAATTTCTGTCACAAAGTTATAATAAAAAATCCAAAAAATAGAGTGGTTTATTACTCTTCATGCTTTGTTCTCTTGATGAAGGTAGAAATTCTCCATTTCCACTGATTTCTATATACACACACACACACACAAATATCCTTATGCTACTTTTAATTTTTGGGTGATTTTTAAGAAGCTATTGGGTATCTTACCCTCATGCTCCAGGCACCAGAATAACAAAGAGTGTGGTGCAGACACACCTACGTATCTGCACATGTGCCTCAGGTCTGACTGCTTGAGAATTCTTTTGGTTCAATGCTACCCCAATTGACTGAGTTCTGACTGAGTTTCTAGGAGACCACAGAAATAACAGCTGATTTCATGACTGTCATCCATCTCAACCATTGCCCTTTAGTTGCACAAGCATGTTGGTACATTTTTATGTAGAACATCTACATTGAAAAGAGAGTAAGTCCTAAATCAATAGGGAAGACCCCCTTTTTCTCCCCACTCTTTTGCTAACCAGTTATCTACCATTCTAAAAGACTTTAAAAAGTTTTGGACGCATAAAAAGATTTCACTTTCCAAAGGAAGCTGAAGACGGTGGTTATATGAAGTATTTGTACAATGCATTATTTTACAGTAAAGACAAATCCTGGTTGTCAGGGAAGAACTAAATGACCTCCTGTAACAGGTCTTTTCTATCTCTTAACTTCTGTGAGTTTCTTAAATTACTTACAGTCAGCGATGAAGCAAAAGGAGGAGACAGGGCTGGAGTCTGCGTTTTTTCCTCTGCTACTAATTCATTTGCAATTGATTTCTCATTTTGTATGTAATTCGTTAAATCTGCAGCCATTGTTGATCCACTTGGTGGTACATAGGCAAGCTTCCATTTTAATCCAACTGTGATGGTACCAGCAGCATGACCTTCAGGGTCTGTTAGTTCAAAAGTACCTGAATGCAAAAAGCAAATCCTGTCTAAATTATCTTATTTTATACATATTTAAGAAAATGCAATGCAAAACATCAGTAATTGATCAGCACTGAAATTTATTCAGTGGCACAGTGACACATCATTCCAATTACAGTTATTTATCAAATCATAATTATTGCATGCCTGGGCCAATAGAGAGAACAAGAAAGGATTTCAGACTTTTCATCCTTTTTAGGACCATGATAAATGAATGTTTGGACACCATTTTTTAAAAAAATAACTGCGGATTTTTCAGAAAATATTAACTACTTTCTCTTAAATCTCAGAAAACGTCATGAGGGGAAAAAAATCCTGCTACTGCAATCCACCCTGTAATGAACAGGTATCCTGTTTAGATTCACTGCTATCAATGGATAAACACAAAAACAAACACCACTTCAAAAATTGACTTCAAATGCAAAAATGCTGGAACATTCTGTTAGCACTATCTTAGCAAACAAAAGAGGTATTTGAAACTCTTTGTCTCCCTCAGTCTTTCATTTCTCTAATGTTTGAAGTTTAATGTTTGTATTAAAATGCTTCAGTTGACAGCTCTGACACAGACTTTTCACTAGCCATAACTTAAGCAACACTGAGATGCAAAATTTCTTTCCAGGATTGCATTAGTTTAAAATTCTGTCAGACCAGAACATTAGATGAATGATAGGGATATTTAGAACCATTCAATCATTTAGGTTGGAAAAGACCTTTCAGATCATAGGCTCCAACCGTTAACCCAACACTGCTAGGTCCACCACTAAACCACAACTGCAAGAGCCACATCTACACATCTTTTGAACACCTCCAGCGATTGTGACTCAATAACTTTCCTAGGCAGCCCATTCCAATGCCTGACAACCCTTTCAGTGAAGAAGTTTTTCCTAATATCCAATCTAAACCTCCCCTGTCACAACTTGAGGCTGTTTACTCTGGTCCTGTCACTTGTTACTTGGGAGAAGAGACCAAAGCCCACCTCTCTGCAACCTTCCTTCAGGTAGTGGTAGACAGCAACAAGGTCTCCCCTAAGCTTCCTCTTCTCCAGGCTGAACACCCTCAGCTGCTCCTTACTGGACTTATTCTCTAGACCCTTCAGCAGCTTTGTTGCCCTTCTCTGGAAATGTTTCAGCACCACAATGTCTTTCTTGAAGTAAGGGACCCCATTACTGAACACAGTATCTGAGGTGTGGCCTCACCAGTGCCCAGTACAGGGGGACAATCACTTCCCTAGTCCTGCTGGCTACACCATTTGTGATACAGGCCAGGATGTTGCTGGCGTCCTTGGCCAACCTGGGAACACTGCCAGTTCATATTCAGCTGCTGTCGACCAACACCCCCAGGTCCTTTTCCACCAGGAAACTTTCCAGCCACTTGTCCCCAACCCTGTAGCGTTCCATGGGGTTGTTTGTGACTCAGGTGCAGGACCCAACACTTCACCTTGCTGAACCTCAAACAACTGGCCTCAGCCCATCAATCCAGCCTGTCCAGATCCCTCTGAAGAGCCTTTATTTAGTTCGGTTCTTAAAGAGACACAAAACACTAAGTGAAGATTTTGTTAAGCTTAAAGAGGTCTAATTCTTACCTGAGACAGATCTGTCATGTGCTAAAGAAATCAGAGGCACGTTGGCTTTCCATACTTTCTTCTGTTTCACCATCATCAAATACATAAAAGGTTAAGGATGCTGATTTTAGATATCTGTCCAAATCTGCATTCATTGCCACTTGGAAACACCTATGGTCATCTATTTGTGGGTTGTTGCTGCGAGGAATGATGGGAGTATCATGGTCTGCAAAGTCAAAGAACTTGTAGACAACATAAGGATTTGGCTGAAGATGTTTTTTTCGGGATTGTAGATTGTTACAACATTTTATTGTAATGTGGAGTTCATTTAAATTGCCATCTGCTGAAGTGCTGAGTTGGGCAGTTCTGAGTATCTGCTGCTTTAAATGAAAAAGAAGTTAAATTAGAAACATGAGAATTCTTATGTTGGCAAACTCTAAGAACTATATAAATAGAACAAGTAACTGATTATTTCAATGAAACTCCAACTACTGTTTAATATTATATGTCAAAATACTACTTGTTCTATAAATTCAACATCATCTCTCAGGGGTTGTTGGTATAAGGAAATAAGAGGTTAAACTCTTCAAGTCTGTGACTGCTTTATTCTTCTGCAGTCTACTTTAGATCTACTCATCACTTGATTATCTACAAAGCAGTAAAGAACACAATTTTAAGAGTGATTCATATCTAGTGCCATGTTAAGGATTCTGATCTAGACAGCTATTCTGTGTCAAATTTTTTTATTTCTATAGTCACTTCCATGTATGTGCTTTACAATAATTAAAATTGCACTGCAGATTCCTCTGGTTTTTAATTCTTCCAAAATCTTACCTACATAAATGAGTTACAAAAATTAGAAATCAACTTGTGAGGAGTAATAATAAATGTTTTAAGTAAATTTAAAACAATGATATCACAAATATTTTTAATTACCTATCAGCATGGCTTGTACATACTGTGAAACCCATAGTTGGAAAACTAAAAAACCCATTTTAATAATAAATCAAACAATAACAAGAAAAATAATGATTATCTTAAATGAGTAATACCCTTCCACAACGATCTCAAAAAGGCTGCCCATTTTTACTGTAATATGTCACAGCTATTTTCATTAATTGTAGGTAATTATCTTGTTTGTGGAAGCCACAGTTCTTTCTTCTGGCATATGGGAAAACATGTATCAGTTCAGTTTTCTGTGACAGAATATTATAAAAATATTTTGGTTAACTAATCCACACTGAAAGAGTCAAACTGTCCTGTTTGGTTTTCTCATTAAGTCCTCAATATGCAACCTTAGGACAACTATTTCTGGCTACATACACAACTGGATGAAAAAAAAAAAATCATGGCAGTTGATGCACAGTTCATGTTGCCATGACTTCTGCTGCTACACAGGACAGGAAATTTTGTATGTATGTTTAACTAGTGAAAGCTTAAATTTTAGAACATACAACTGAAGCTAATTTTGCAGCTGCAGACTGACAGAACCCTTACCATAATGTAACCATCTGCTACAGACATATGACTTTTAGTATCTGCCATTAAACATTTCTGAAGACTGCAGTATTTCAAACAACTCTGTAGTAGCTGTTATTTATTTCTGCCATTTCCCCTATATTCTCCCACATAATCAGTATATTTCAGTTGCCATGTTTGAATTCACAATTTTACAATAATTACAACAAAACGCTCTGTTCCACATGCCTCAACTTTCAACTGTGTTTGGATTGGTAACACAGCTAGAAATAACAAAATCAAAATAGAGAAAATGAAAGAACAGATTTTGGTATTTAACAATGGACAGATTTTGTGAGTTAGTTAAAACCACCTTTGATGCTTTTAAGAATCAAATTTAAAGCAAATGTTACAATGTTATGAAACACAAAGTTATTCTGAAAATGCCTACGCTGACCTTTAACAGAATTCATACACTAAACATATTTCTCAGTTTACATCATGGAATCCACTGAGTTTCTATTATGTTGTAAGTTTACATTATGGAATAATATAAAGTTACTCCAGACTTAAGTAATTTGAACAGCTACAGATTTTTAAAAACTTACTTTTAGAAACTCTAAAAAGTTTTCATTTATGCATTTCAACCTGATAGTTTTTAAATCTTAAGAACAACCACTGCACCTGTTACACTGAAATTAACCTAGTTGGTTTAACATTCCTGAATACTGTACTAGAAAAAAAAAATGTTAACAAAATGTGGCACTTCGAGCTAAGAAAATTGAATATACTAATTTCAGATATTCTAGTGATAATTGCAGTAAAAATAAATTTCTGAAGTTTTAAACTCTGTCTCTTCAGGAAAACTGTAATTCAACTGGTTCTTTATATGAAAAACGTGTCACTCAACTGCTAAAGGTATTTTCTAGTTCAAGAACCTTTTATTAACTTTGAAGATATCCAGACTTGAAGTAAACTGTTTGAACTGAAAAAGTAATTTTGAACAGTTTATTCCATCAAAACTGTGAAGTACAAGCCCAAACATACCTTGGATGGTTGTTCACATTTCCTCAAACTGGATGCTATATACCCCAGAGCCTTTGACCTCTCTTTGTAGAGACGAATAGCTTGCTCCATAGGAACTTGTAACCTGATCCAGTATTCTATGGTACCATAGTTTTGGACGTTTCCTTTGAGTCCTAAGGAATAAATACATATGTGACTGCATTAATTTTCTTTTCAACATTAAAGTACTTAACTCAAAAGCTAGGAAACACCACAAATTAAAATTTAAATTATCTTGTGACTATGCATTATGACAGTGTTTGTTACATGAGATGTGCAGTTCATGTCAGAGAGAGACAAGCACCCCTGTGGCTCTACATGGATGATCCAAAACTGAAACATGACCATTTTTTCATTATGTAATCTGCAATATTTACTGTCAAAGCTATAGAGCTAAGTCAAGTTCATTATTTAATCTCTATAAGGCAAATAAAGCTTAGGACAATTTTCTATGTCAACAGTTGGAAATGTCTCAAAGTGGTATGGAGTTTAAATTACTGGCAAAAATAACACTTTATAATGGCTTATTAAACCAGATTTTTGACACAAGTGGGAAGTTAGAGGTCTTTGAATATAGACATCTGACTAAATGCTTCTAAAAGAAAGGAAGCAGCACCGAATATTAAGTACTTCTTAAAAAAGGTGTTATCTTAAAATTATGTTAAAACAATGAATTAAATTAAAAGAAAAAAAAATGCACAAAACCTCAACCTTATATTTATGACACTTAGGTCAGATATAAAGTACTGATGTTTGACAGTCTTAAAATGCAGAAATATTTTTCGTTTTAATGTATATTCTGCCAGAGAAACTGCATATGCAAAAGTAGAGTAATTTAATTTCATTTAAATATATTACAAGACTTACTGTTGGTGTCACAATTGAAACCCCTTGTATCAACAAGTCTCAGAGGATGAAAGAAATTTGCATTGAATAGTTAAAACACAACAATACGTAAAAATAATAAAGCAAAATGAAGAACAAAATAAGGAATTTGAAAGTATCTTCTCTACATTATTCATAGAGAATTTCTCATACATGAATAGTACCACAATACAATCAAGTACACTGCTCTACTAATTGCTTTTCTCTGTGTTGTTTTCATATAATTCTGTTGACTAAGGTGATGCTATCTATTAAAACTTTTTACATGTGTAGTAGGAGCACTTTGCAAGTAACCTTTATACAAGACAAAGAATCACTTGCTATTTTCAGACAAGATTCTCTAATGTCATTTCCAGCATGTCACATAGTTCTAACAGCATGTACTTCAGAATCACTGCATTAACACCATCTTTGTCCTCAGCCATTAGGTGCTAAACTGCACCTGTCAGAGCTTTCTCACAAGTGTCTGCAGAATCACCAAAACATGCTGCACAGCCAACAGGAAATATCATGTTGTGTAAACCTTTTGTGCTTTTCTTCTGAAATAGCAATACACGAATTCATTGTTGGCCAAATACACATTACTTAATTGTCACTTAAAATACTGCATGAAACAGAACACTCTATGATATGTTAATTACCAACTAAATTTGCTGTGCTGTAGATCATCTTGTTGTTTTCCAAGATTTCATGGAAATTCAGTTGGCATGCAGCAACAGTTTCATAATCTGTGCCACAGGCATGATGAACCTCAAGCGTCATACTGCTTTGTTGTATATACTGCAAGAAGTTGTCATTAGCCTGCACAACGTACTGAGAAGTGAAGTCATAGGAGGGGCTATGCCCATAAACTATTGGGGTTATCTGAAGTTCGAAGTCATAGAATGCAAAAGTACAAAAACTTGCAGGTTCATGGTCACCAAAAGCATGCAGAACACTAGAAGAGAAGATCACTTTGCTGATATGAATTTCAAAAAGGTTCTCTCCTCTTCGTAAATGAAAAGTTTCATCAAATTCACCCACTGGATCGCCTGCCAACATTTCTGGTCTGGGTTTATGCGGTTTTGTACCATAGACAATATCATTTAGTTGGGCTGCAACAAATAAAACAGAGGTACAATTTGAGAGTCTTGTTTGAAAATCAAATATAATTAATGACTGAGTAGAGAGGAAAAAAGCACAACTCAATTATATTAACAACGTTACTTTCTTAAAGGTGTTACCAAAAAAGAAATCACATTTAAAACCATACATCTACTGCTCATTTAGCACACTGGCAGCAGTCAAGAGTATCTCCACAATGGAGGTGCTTCAGTAGACATAAAAATAGACACAGACCCCTCACAATTAATAACAGATTACAAGGGAGTTAACAAGCAAAAATTCAGAAGACTTAGAAAATGATCAAATTAGGGTCACTATGCAAATGTAGCAGAGACTTAAGATACATATTTTCCTAGCGCTGAACTAAATTTGCCAAGGAAAGAAAATAGAGCTGACTTTTAACCTCTGTTGTATCTTGAGTGGATAAAACAATCAGCAAAGACCTTTACAATTTGCCTGGCCTCACAGATAGTAAATGGTGAACAAACCGAAAAACATGCTTACAGAACTAGGACATAAATCGTCATGCAGACCTTTAGTCCAGGGGACACAACTTGGAGACAAAACATCAAAACTGTTAGGACATTGGGGTTTGTAAGGTATCCTGTTTCAGGCTTCCTATGCACCTTTTACATGCTGAAACCATTAAACCAGCATTTTAAACTCATCATATTGAAATTAATCCACTGTTATATTCTACTTTATGGGACTTTGGGATTTTCAGGAACACATGAAATGATTATGTAATGATAGGATACCAAAATAAAGGGTTGACTATAAACGTACAATTTATATTTAAAAATTAAAAAAAAAAAAATCTAAGTTGGGTAGTTTTGTTCTTATTCCACAATAGCTGCAGCACAAACTGCTTCATTGAATTTTGCTTGATTAGTAACTTTAAGTCAATGAAACAGCACCCAGATAATTTTCCATGCAGGAACTGACCTTTCTATTAGCTTTAGGAATGCAAAAGAGCTTCAACTAAAGAATGAGTTTACAACAATAATTTGCAAGAGAGAAAATATAAGGAAAAAAAACCCCACACTTTAAAGATACCTTCTAGTTTTCTGATGCGTGCAGCTCTAATATCAAGAAGATGGACATACTGTTCCAGTCTTAACTCATAGTCTTTCTGCAGACATTCCATCTTTCGTGTCACTGCTTCTACTTCGGTCTGAAACAAATGTGCATGTAAAAAGGACTTTTGAGCCTTACCTGCACTGATGCTGCAAGTACTTTTGGCTACAGATTAAAATACAGTTAGATTTCAGGAAAGATCATTTTGAGTACACAAAAACAGCAGCAATTTTTAATTCAGCAATCAGTTTGAATTGCAGTAAAATATAAAATCATTTAGAAAACCAGACTAGCTATTCCTGCAGGACAATATTCCTAATAGTTTCTTTAATATTTTCATTATTTTAAACTAAGAATAATTTAATGAAAAGTCAAAAGATGATCTGCAGTAATCCACTATAAGAGAGTAAAAGCTGAGTGTTGTGGAGAAGGAAGCTTATTTGATAAGTACACTTACTATTTTTCCTGTGAGTACCTGATAAGAGCTCAGAGATAATCCCAAGAAGCCGTGGTTTGAGGGCTCTGATCAAGGTGAATTAAAAGGCTGTAGTTATAGTCATTTGGATCTCATGCTTTTTAAACAATACTTTCAACAACAGCAAACCTCTTTCTTAGATTACTTACGAACAGACCACTTTTGTTGCTGAATTTGCAAGCCTTAATTCTGACAAGTTCCAGTGCTATGAATGTTGAAATGTTGTTATCAGGCTATTTGCCACTGGGAGCAGAGTTTGGTACCTGGTAATCTTTGTTAATTTGGTGCTGTACAATTAACATATTCCTTGTCTTCTCAAGTTCTCGCACTGTTTCTGCATGTGTTAATTGCAGCTCTTGCAGGGATTTTTCTAAATCTTTATGGATATCATAATCTACTTTTTCCAAAACCAGAAGGTGCCCATTCTTCTGCTCGTTTTGAACCTGGAGCAAATTTGAAAAATTATTAGAAAACACTTTGCAAAATATTTGGATGTATTTGTTCCTGGTGAAATGCAACACTGGGATTTAATTTTGGAACAAGAATAAGACAGACACTAAGCATAGCTTTGTAAATTTTGAGCATGTGGTAACACAAAAAATAGAAATGAGACAGAGCAGTATCAGGACTGATACTAACCTCGTGATTATCAGGAACCAATTGAAATGTATGAGATACTTGGAAACAACCACTCCTGTCTATCCAATGAAAATAAAACCCCTAATATATTTCCCTTTAATATAATTAATAATCCTGCTTCAGTAAATGTACAAAACTCGAATTATTATTCTTAAGTCTAAACTGCTTTTGTTACTAAGACTGGGGTTTTAATTTTCTATTAGGTTTTTGGGTTTGGTGCTTTATTTTGCTTTCTTTTTTCCATGCTCGTTATAGAATTATCATTTGCATTTCAGTAGCAGAAAAAGATTCTATTTACAGTAAACACTCCCTCAAAACAATAAAATATAAGTCACTGGAACAGTGGAAACAATGCAAACAATTTTTTTTTTTTTTTACTAATTTATTCCTCCCACTCCCACTTCATTTACAATTTTGCTGTAAACAATAAAATGGCAACTTTAGTGCAAGAGAAAAAGTTGAACATTTTCTGGGTATTTTTGTTTTTCTGTTTTTATAAACAAGGAGAAGTTGCTAAGCACTGCTGTATCACATTTTACAACTTCCACACAATATATACTTCCATAAATCACAGAATTAATAAACAAAAATGTTTTTCAATAAACACTACAGGAAGAATGAAATGGCGTGGTAAGTAATTTGAGAAAAAGTAAGTTTTTTAGGAAAATACTTGTGAATCTGGTTTAATTAATTTTTGATGTTGCACTGAATTATCTTCATAACTCTAGATTTAACCCTGGCAATTTTTAAATCTGCTCTTCTGCTTCACTGTAACCGAAAAATGACAAAAGCACACATACGAGCTTGAAGCATTAACTACTAAAAGATACACAAATAATTCAGCCCCTGAAAATCCCACGCATTGTGTAGAAAATACGTAATGGTCAACCAGGGGGTTAAGAAAACATAACAAACCAAACAAAACAAAGAGGCAAAATATATGGAACGATAGATCGGTTTGGGTTGGAAGTGGCCTTAAATATCACCCAGTTCCCTCCTGCCATATGCTTATTCTTTGTAATTTACCTTTCTAAGCAAGGGGTCTTCTCTGAGCTCTGTCACGTCAGTATCATTTTCCTGAAACAGAAATATTTAATGTAAAGGTGTTACCAGATGTGAATGAATATTGGAGAAATGCACTCAGCAGAACAAGATGCATTCTCACTAGACAGGACATTTTGCTTGATAATATGAATAGAGAACACTGTTCTATTTCTGTATTCTTTTACTTTCAAGAAGTATTTGCACTATGTGTAAAACAATGAATGGGGTGTTTTTGCTCATATTCTGAAGAGAAATAGCATTCACCTTGGTCAAAACATTCATGTGATTTTTCATTTCATCTAGCTGTTGCTTATATTCCAGGCAGCGTAACTGCAGGTCTTTGTTCTCTTGCATCAGCTTTTCATTTTGGTCTTAACATAGAAAAAGAAAAAAATATTCTACTTAATTCAACATAATTATAAAAATAATAAACTTGCTTTTTTACATTGTTACACATGAATATTTCATACTAAAATTAGAAACCAATTTATTTTTTATAAGTAGATCTTTGGTATTAACAAACAGAAAGAGAGGGATAGAAAACTACTCCTCTTAGATCTGGTATAGGTATATGGATTAAAAAAAAAGGCAAAATACCCTCACTTTCATTAGAAGAGGATCTACAGTGTGAAAAATCTACATTTTGTCTATTTCTAAGCAGAAAGATATGCCCAAGTACTGCTTTCTGTTTTGAGGGGTGGGAAGAAAGAGGGGAACTGTCAATCTGAATCAATAAACCCCATTAACTTATCAGTAGAAGGTTACACAGATGTTACATAGATACTAATACGTAGCTACACCTACAATGATTTCTCACCAAGATATGAGAAAAGAACTTAAGGATTAGGCAAAATAATTTAGGTGTAAGAACATATATGTTGTCACATGGGAAAGTTTTAAGAGCAAGTTTTTCTCAAAACCATTGAGGTTCCTAAGGAACAAAAGTACTCTGTCACCTTCCCCCCCCAGCCAAACTCACTATTCTTATGGTAACAATGTTTTTTCTCCTTTCATTTCTTCCTGTGTTTTTTCAAAGTCGCAAAGTTATATTCTCATACCATGGACTCAAGTACTATGAATTCACACTTAAGGTCAGCACAACATAAAAGTTCACTGTCAACCTGATGTGCAAGCATTAGCCTTTGCAACTCCCATTTGCGCTCCTGGGAGTGGATCGGTAAAACATTACATACTCAGTTGAGAACACATTCTCCTGCTTTCAACAAAATAGTCCACAGTATCTTTTTTAATGCTGGAATGTTTTCTGATGACCCTCAGGGCACGATGCACAATGTAGCTATTTTTACAGAGTAGCTTTTCAGTTTAGAGGCTTAAACTCAGCAATGGGCCGCTAGTCGCAAGGGTTTCAAAACGTTTCAAAAATTTACATCAGGTTTAATTTTGCAGAGTTTCTATGTCAAATGACATCTTCACTAAAAGTGAATCATCTGTAATGCCAGTGCTTCTATACACAGTAGCTCGACTGACACATGTGTTGGGACTCCGCAAGAGTCACTTTCAAGTCAAACACATAATTACTAGTAAGGTTTTAAAGTCGCAAGGGTTTCAAAACGTTTCAAAAATTTACATCAGGTTTAATTTTGCAGAGTTTCTATGTCAAATGACATCTTCACTAAAAGTGAATCATCTGTAATGCCAGTGCTTCTATACACAGTAGCTCGACTGACACATGTGTTGGGACTCCGCAAGAGTCACTTTCAAGTCAAACACATAATTACTAGTAAGGTTTTAATTCTCTGCAGTAATGACGAAAATGTAATGCAGTTGTGCAATTGAGAAGAAAATATAATTAGAAACACTAAGGGCTAAAAGTTAGAAAGCAAATAATAAAACAATTACAGTAAGATTGTGAATGGGCAGTGAAGGAAGGCTTTCATGAAAAATGGTGAAACACTTAGGAGCAATTGAGTCTTCCACAGAGAAAAAGGGCCCCTTCATGCTGATGTAAAAATTAACTGAGATCTGAACTGGCACTTTTTCAAGGGATAAGGAGACAAGATATCCCTCCTCAAGTACTTATACTTCATTTTCACAAGTTTTCTGACAAGAGCAGCAAGCTCATTCCATCCACCCTTCTTCTAACACGGACCCCAGTGAAGTGTTTGGACAGGTCCATAATCTTCATTCACACTTGCTGCTTAAAAAGGTAACTTCAAAACGGCAAATGGTATATCGAAAGGAAACTGGCTTTTATTCAAACTGAGGCAATTTCAACACCCTGGTGAACCAATAACACAGCTCCATCTACCTGTCCATGTTGTCTCTTAAGATCCTCAAGGGGCTCAGTTTCTATGATCCCAACCGAAGACAAAAAATGGGAGACATGCAGGAAAAGAGGCAGGGGGAAAGGGATACTTCCACACCAGCCTTTAGGGAACAGAAGTGACAGGGTCATCCTGCCATTCAGTTTTCCCATCGAACTACACTATTTTTCCAACAGGAGCCACTCCAACTCTCTATTGGTTGTTTCCACCTGTAATACCATGAGCACTGATCGGAATACACTTGGATCAGGGTTGGTGCTGGCTGCTTAGTTTGCTTCCCCTAATTCAACCCAAAAGCTGCAACTGAAGAGGAAGAAGGGGGGAGAAGAGGCAATTCTCACACTGTGACTACATCCCACAAGAGCACAGCATCACAACAATATCAGGGTTTTTAGTAGCAAGGCTGTGACAGTAACAGCACAAGAAAGAGGAGAAAACACTGCCCTGGAGGCTCAAGAAAACACCTCCACAACAGCTTGCATGAAAGGCTACAGAGCCATGAGTGGAAGCAAACTACCAAGTTGTGGACAGCCCTCTGTGTTGATAAAGGCCTTGTAAGATAGCTAAGGGACTGCGTAACAGTACTCATTCTCAGCTGGAATCAAAATAGATACTGTGCCAATATACGCAATCCCATTGTAAATCAGAATTCAAACTTGCCCAGGTGACTTCAACGTTAAACATTGATACATATTTGCAAAACATGAACATATTCAGAATCTTAATCAGCAAAAGCCTCCACATTAGTTCACCTCCTACATAAATCCACAGGAAGAGTTCTTCTACACCAACCAGTACCAACCAGGTAGCAGGGAAGAAGTAAAAACCATGACTGTCTTGCCTTGTAAACAAAAAATATATGCTTCCAAGACAACTGAGGCCTATTTTGCTTAATATCCCATAATCTAACTACCATCATGTACAACAGTATCTATCCTCACCCTCTTCCTTGCCAAACCCACTATTTTAGGTCCAATTTATGGCAACAGGATTGCCTTGATTCCTAGCCCATGGAATAAAACTGGAATTGCATTTATGCTGATTTTTTTTCGTTAGTTTTATGGACAGTAGAACAGTTTTTGTGCTGAACGTAAAGAAGGGATGTGCAACAAAGGCAGATACACAATACTCTGACGTATGTGATTAAACAACTTACGCTGCCTAAGTTGTTTAATCAAATCCTTGAATACATAGACCTTGAAGGGTATTGCAATATCTACTCAAGCTGCAGCAAGTTCAAATCAACAAAGCTGAAAGTGTAGTAACCTGGTGACTAGTCCAAGAGCACAACAAGCTGTTAAGTACCAATCTGGGGAAGGGGTGGTAAAGACCTGCCCCTTAAACATAAGGCCAACAGGAAGGATAGGAGATGGCAGGCGTTGCCTGGTTTTCCACATTCAACCTCATCAAATAATAGTATGGCCTATAACATTTTCGTGCCTTTATTACCACTTTAAATTTTGCATTGCATGATCAAACTGTCATTAACAACTGTCTGTAACTGTCAATAGGTCATAACATCATATTATTGTAGCCTAAGGCATCTTACTTATTTTAGTACCACTAAAGGCTGATTTTTCAAACACTTGCTGCAGTCAGGTAAGAAGTTTAAAAATTTCATCTCGTATTTGAATTGGTGGAGCTACTCAGAATCTTAATGGTAAGTACGTGCTTAACTTGAGCCATAATCATAAGAATTCTTCACAAGTTGGCCCACTTTATTCCATTTGATTTGTTCACAAAAATATACTTTTTAAAAAACAAACATTCAAAGAATCAACTCTAAAATATTATTTTACTTCCTGCTTGTGCTCTTGTTTTGTAAACTTTATGTTGCTACAGTATATGACAGTCTTGAGGTAAAAAAAGAAAAAAATTGCAGAGTTTTAATAAAGATTCCCTCAGAAGTTGTCCCACAGCATGGGAAAAACCCAAGAAATAATCTGTTCAGTAGATTAAAAGAAAACAGTATTATTGCAAATGTACATATCTGTAAATAAAAATCAGTGTACACTGAAAAAAATTTAAAATTCTGAATTCAAAAGCACTGAAAGACAATTAGCCACTTTCAAGGGTTTATATAGATTTCATTTAACTTTGTGCAGTAAACAGAATTAAATAGCGGTTTATAATTTGAGAGGGACTGTCAGATTGTTCTCTTTTCTGTAAGAATTTTCAATGTAAAGGAGAGGAAAAATACAGAATAAAGAGTAAATATTAGCCCAACAGGTGAAGAATGAAGGCAGCTGGAGTTATATGATCCTCATTCAGCACGTAACCTATATTGGGTCAATTTTAGTATGTAATAGCTAGTCACAGCTGAAGAGTATTGTTCAGATGTACACTTAAAAGGCAGCTCTGAAATCACCAACAACAGAAACTACACTTTTCTGGGCAATACACCTGAAATTCACACAGAAAAACCTCACATCATGAGAAATTACAGTTATTTCATATATCTACCTCTTTCTACTTTGATCTTCTCAAGGAGTTCATTTTTGTCTGCTAAACCAGATTCGATAGCATCCTCTAGTTTAGCAATTTGCAGTTTCAGTTGCTGTTCCTTTAATATCCATTGCTGTTCATCGGTCATACTGGAGACACTGCAATAAAACATGTGGCATGTGAAAAACTTTTAGAAATCAGCTTCAGCAGAAAATAATAAAGAGAAAAGCTTTTAGTGGCACAGAGACCACTGTCATCATGTCTTAGGAATTAAGCAAACATATGCTGGTCTGCTGCTGTTGAAACCAAGGCGCCTTTCTCAGGCTGCGGTTAAAAAACATGAAAGAGTCTGTGGGATGAGCAAAGGAACTGGCCTTATTTTAGAGCTCCAAAGTCAGAAAAGTTGGCAGCATGCAACATTTGTGGGACTAGGAAAGGAATTCAGATGCATATCCCAGAGTAATCCACAACGCGAAAAACTCAGCAACTGACAACTGACAAAACCATTCTTTCCGCACACAAAACCTCCTAATGTAGAGAACTGGGATCACCCACCTGATTGCTTTTAAATCTGTGAAACATGCAAAGCCTAAAGTCAGTTGCCCATTCAAAGAAACGTTGACCACAAAGTGACAACAGTTTTCTCATACTGTAAAACAATTCTGATACTGATTAAGAAGCACATATAAACTAATCTTCCTCCTACTTCAAGAAATAAAAACCAGAGCTGGGCAACGAAATTAGAATAACTATTTTGCCTGTAACACCTTATTTACTTGCAAACTACCAATCTGTGTGCAATAAGGGTTGCGTGGGCACCAAATCAGAACTGCTGAAACCACAATAAAACGTGTAGCTCAGATTGAAACAAAATTAAGTACATTATATAGTTTACAGTATAACTCCCAGTAGGTAAAAAGACAAAGCAACGCAATGTGCTTTCACAATGAGTACTATGGTCTTCATATTATTATTCAATACTTGCATTCTTATTAACTGGAAAAATGTCCATCCTAACCAATCATAATTCAGTTACGTATTCTGGGAAATCAGAAATTGGAGGGTTTTTTTGAGTCCATTTCTCAACTCTTCACTTTGGTGAAGCTCACCAGTTAAAAAGGTTATTTTTTACATATATATGTAAGTATAAAAAATATCTTCTGATATCTGTTTATCAGTAGATTTCTCCAAAAGATCTGTGTAACAAAAGCCTCAACCAAGAAAAAACATTAGGAGGAGAAGAAAGAAATATCACAGAAGGGACCGCCCACATAGCTGTCATAAACTGTACTTACTGGCTAAAAGAACTGCTGCTTTTGATGGCTATGACTACACAAAGAGGTTCTGAGTACATATAAGTGCATTTATATCTAATATAGCTGAAAAACAAACTTAACATTAAAGAAAAAAATTATAGGATGAATCATAGACACTATATGGCAAAAGCTTATATTCTTGATTTGTGATCTTCATAAAACCAGTTCTATCACCCTCTGTTTTTGCCTGCTACCAGCTGTCTCACCTATTCATACGGTTCTCTAGGCATACACCTTCTTAGAAGGTGATAGCCTGTCTTTCATAGCATGCACGAACTTAAGCAATGGTTCTAAGTCCTACAGTAACACATACTTCACTCTGCTATAATCCTGAAGATCATATGCAGGGAAATAATGTGCAGAACCCACAATCATTTCCATAATACTGCATAGGTAGAGAAGAGACAGTGTTCTGTAACTGCTTAGATTTAGCACTCTTCAAAGTTTGATTGGCTCCCATTAGGAAAGACTAACACTCTGCAATAAAAGATATCAAATTCCCTTAGTTTTCACACTTCTCAAAATGTTTTCAAGTTTTAATGACCACAATATGTAGTTATATGTTCATTTGTTATCTTTAGGTACAATTACTTCACACAAAGGTGTGGCTATTTCACTTTTTCAAAAGACTACGGTGGCAGAAAAATATATATGACAGCAATTCAGAATTTACATGCTTACATAAAGAAGAGTTTAAAAGGCCTATAAAGCTAATGTTTATGTCAGTTTGAATTGAGTCCACTCCTGTTGCTTTCATCCTTTGAATTTGAAGATTACTTTGACTTGAATTCATGTGGAATTTCTTTCACATTAACTTCACTGCAGTTGGAGCCATCTGGGTAACTATAAATGGTCAACCACATCTGGCACTGTTTGCTTTGGAGTGAGTTTAGGCAACGCTAGATTTGCATTACAAGGTCATAGGAAAACTATTCCTTCAAACCTTTTATCCAAACGAATTGTTTTATTGGATACTGACTACATAATAAGAGTCAACTGACAAATTCATACTTGTTCTTTGCAAATTTTTCAGATCCAGTTGTGCAGTTCTGGCTTTGGCAAAACTCCCATCAAGTTCAAGTGAATTTTAAAAAAAAAATCATTAGCAAAGAATGGGTTAACACCTCTTTTCCTCCATTGTACAAAAAAAAAAAAAAAAATTATGTGGCACCTGAGGACAGTGGCTTATTCCCTGCTACCAACAGGTAAGCTGTTGCATTGTTCTAATGGACAACAAAAGCAGCTGGTTTCAGTTATACTGAAATTATCCATTTCTCTTTCTAATTTCTTGCTACCTACATAGTAACATGGAATGATGAAACACGAATCAAAGTTTAAATGGGAGTTTATGAAAAGACAGTACATTTTAGGGAAAAGCAAAGCCATATTGTAGGTCACTAGATTATGAGAACAACATATTGTGATTATACAACTGGTACCTCTCTTTTAAATAAATGTTTTAAGCTATTTGTACTCACAGTTTTTTACTCCTATAATTTTTTATTTCACTGTATCAAGTGAAAGAAGTACAATAAATATTGTACAAATACTATAAACAACATTTGACATCCCTCACCCTTGTGTTTACTCATTGGTATATTTAATGACAGACATCACACTGACCAACCAACGAAACTTCAGGAGGATAAATAATTTTGTTGTGAGAAAAAGCTTCAAGAATTTTACCTATTTTCTGAGGCAATTATTAGCCCTAGGAAATTCCTCTTGTCTTCAAACCCTCTTCAGTGCAAAAGACCACATGGTTTCACAATAAAAGAAAAGTTTATTTGAAGGTCATTTTTTCCTTTAATATGCTTGTGTCAACTGACTATAATTACTTCTTCTCCGTACCAGAGAATTTCTGATTCATATCTGGCAATGTATTTTCATTTGCATTGTAAGTACTCCTGATACAATTCATACAACTTATTATGTATAATACATTTGTCGAAATTTACATGAGCCGATAGAAAGACTTCAAACAAAACCAGTAGAGGTGAAATGGTAGCTATTACCGAAATGTAACATCCACCCCTCAAAAATAAACACTGGCCAAGCTGCCAAATATCAGGCTTTATATAGGTCCATGGAGAAGTGCTGGAAGACCTTGTACAAGAAGTTCAAACACCACTTTTCCCCAAATAAAGCAAAATCAAACCCAAGGAACATGTCTACCTAGATGTATTCTTCTTTCACAAAAAACTCTTTAAAAAAACCAGTTATGAGAAATTAAAATAAGAACTTTTTGCATTGGTGTTTAAAATTAAGTGACTGCTACTTACTTTTTAATTTGAATTTTAAGAGTAGTAATCACTATTTTAAGAATATTGGAACAAATATAGAATCTGTCCTGTTTCAACAGAGCCAATTAAATACAGACAGAACACCAGTAGCATGATTATATTTACACATGTGCACAAACACACAATATGCATATGCACATTCAAGCACACAGTATATGAAGATCTATTGAACAGGGCAGGAATCAAGTTTTTTTACATACAGAAGCCGTAACATACCTGTTATACAGCTTATCATAGTTTTCCTTCAGGATTTCCTTCTCTTTTTCTAGATCATTTATTCTTTCCTGTAACTAAAATGAAGGATGCTTACTGTGATTTGAACTGCTGAAGAAGATGTAATAGAGCCCTGTACTGTAATTAAATCAGGTTGAAATAATAATAATAATAATAAACTAGCAATATGTGATCAATAACTCAAGTATTATGATTTTTCTCTGGTTAACAAACCACTTGTTTAGTATCAGAACTGACATGAAATCCTATGCTTTAACCTCAAATATTGTCCAAACACTGGTGCAGTGATTATGTGGCATAGAGACCAGGTATGGATCATGGTTCTAAGAAATGCAAGCAGCAGCTACAGGAGGGTTTTTTTTTTTAATGGGACAAAAGTACATATATTACCACATCAGTCTAAGTGTGTTGCAAAGGTCTATTTACAGCTCCGCAATTAGCAGGTATCCCATCAGTAACTTTTCCCTTATCTATGAGTACTACCTAAACCAGATTCTAGCTCTCATGAACACAATCTCACCTCCTCTGTCCTTTGGTTTGGAATAGTCACCGATTGCATTTGTTTTTCAAGATGGAAGCACTTTAACTGCTCCTCTTTAAGCTGTAGGTTCAGTTCACCAATGTTTGCTATTAAAGCATCATGGCTCGTCTTCAGGTTCCTTTGGACCTATGAAAAGGAAGGAAAAAAAAAAACAGGGGAAGGGAGGGAAATCACAATTACTGGAATGTCACAGCACCCTGCATGTTCAACCTATAGCCTCTCATGGCAGTATTTAATAGATCTTCTCAATGTGGTCAACAGGAGACACTCTTGAACTGAGTAACTGAAAGCAACTTTCATTGCACGTGGCTGGGAGAAGGTGGCATTCTTGTTCCTTTCATGAACATTAAACCCTCAGTTCAGTCATGATGAAAACAACCAAGAAATACATCTGTAAAGCAATTAAAAAATTTTGCTGTGGTTACAGCGGTTAGACATGCTGACCAAAAACACTGCAGTAGCAAGCAAAAATGAATGTTGACCACAGTTACGTTAATCACTGAACTTTCCACAGCTCTGTTAACCCTTAATTGTAGATATATAATTGTTTCATAATCCTAATGCACACAGTTCTGTTTCCCTGCTACCAATAATTTAACGAGAGACTTAGGATTTCTTTTACATTTTAATTTACTTCAATGGAGTTTATTAAGGCACATTTAACCAATTTTAATATTAAATGGAGGATGCTGATAGAACCGCTATTTCCAGAATAATAGTTAATATTATACTCTGTACATTCCACAATGTTTTAATAAAGCCTCATTCATTAAGAATTTCAGTGTAAATCACGTTCAAAGTATGAAGAAACGAAATAGCCCAAAAGCTGTTTAATAAAATAATTGTATGAAAATTTATGTCAAATACATACAGGAGTATAGGTCATGTTTCCTAATTGCAGACAGAAAAAAGTTAGCTTCTTGTTTCCCATATAGTCTTCCTAAAAGTAGTTAAATGGAGAATCCTCAGTTACAGTTGTGAAATCATTGTACCAATTGTTCAGGGGAAGAATTAATTCCCTATAATATTTTAAATTGTAGTTGCACAGGTTGGCATATTTCATATTACAAACCATCAAATCCTGAATGTTAAGTCTGCAATTAAAGCAAATAAATATACCAATGGGATCAAATACATAATTCAAACAGTTTCAGTGTCCTTTTTTCTTCTGAGTAGATTGCACAATTCCTTCATTCAACAAACTACATTCAAATTCTTTATCAACAAAACTGTCCTTAAGTGTTTGGTAGCAACCTCAATTTCAGTATCATTAGATGGAGCAGGATTACAGGCTCTTTTCACTCTGTGGTTCCACATTTTGGGCTGACTCAAGTTCAAGGATGAACATGGAGGAATTATATGGGTTTCAATTGGTAGAAACTGAGAGTAAATGATAATTAACTCAATAGTCATAAAAATCATCAAGATAAACATAAAAACCCAAATCAAAACAAATCTTGCTCTGTTGATAAACACTTTACATGCCATCTACACCATAAATCTTGGATTTTACAGTTATTCACATTTAGAAGACATGTTTCAAACACTCAAATGATTGGAAATGGGAAAACCATTGTTTCCATTATCTTGGAGGGGAAAAAAAAAAAAAAAAGAGAGAGAAAACACACTCATCTTTTTCAAAAATGCAGCTTTCACTGACTGTTAGAAACAATGTCTTCAAATATCAGTTTGAATCCTAGGCATGTGTTTCTATTCAGCTGCTGCCAAGACAGAGGCATAAGTATTTGACGTTTGCTGTAAATTACCAAGAAGTCCCATATGATTTAAAATGGAACAGTTTACTTATTGCTTTCAATTAAAGAACACATAAGGCCACGTGAAACCCGTCTCCCCTAGAATTTACATTCTACGTAGTTCACCCTGTACAAGTAAAATTTGAGCTACTAGCAGAAGAGCTGCTTTGGCAGAGAAGATAAAGGTATTACACTGAGGTGGGAGAGGGAAGCAAAGCAAAGCAAAACTTAGAATGAAAAAATAAAACCACAGAAAAAAGGAAGAGAACAAAAACTCTAATGGCACGCATGTTAATTTAGCATCTTAAAATAACAAGATGCAGGCCACAGTAAGAGCTTACAGGGTATCTAGTGATTCCACCTCATAAAGCTCTATTGCATGCAGGATTCTTACTCACAGGAACTCTACTGTTTGTAGGCTTTTACCATACTATCACTGCATACACACGTGGCTCTCCAGGTATATATGGGAAGAAGCAGAAAAATGCTGTATAAATGAAACCTATACAGAATCTGCCATGCAGTAGCACATTCTGGTGATATTTTCATAAAACTGCTCTTTTTACACCGAAAATCTGTTACTTCGAGTAGCCTTCTACAATAGTTTCCATGAACTTAGGAACACAAGTCCTAATGTCAGAACTCTAAACAGCTACCTCCCCAACTTTATCAAAGACTGATAAAGTGGGGTTGGGGTGGGGGGGTGTGTCTGGTACCCCTTCTTTAGTAAGTCAGTACCTTTAAGTCAAAGCTTTCTTTTTAAATGGCCAGGAATCTCTTTAGATAGCCAGACAACTCAGGTCATTCCCCACAATCTCCCTGGGATGGCTTTGCAGAGAAGACCTTTATGACCTACCAGACTCTTCAGAAGGAAAAATAAAATAAAGACTAAAATGCACTACATTTTTGGAGTAACCTGGGTGCAATGTATTATGTGGTTCATTTTCATGTACTCAGCATTGACTCAGAATCAAGAACTGTGTATATTTATTTTCCATTTGCGCATGCTTATGTGACAAGAGTAAAGGAATGTTACTGACCAAATTGCAATTACCTCTTGAAGCTGGAAGAGTCTTCTTTCCGCTGCTGAAATGGCATTGTTTTTCTCAGCCAGCTGTTTATGCATCTTGATCATTTCCACATTGTCCCGAATGTTCAGCCTTCAAAAATGTATTGAAAAAAAATGCACCATGAGCTTAGATACAAAATGAATTAACCAATTATTTTTGTCTTGAAAAGTTGAAATCCTTTGCAAATCAGCCTTCTGCAACACACTTGGGAAAAGATTTAATGTGTAATACCCATATTAATTTCTTCCTCTATAATCCACATGACAGAAATTAGGTAAATAAACATTCTACCCCACAATGATACAGCAGCTTCAACCCAAACAATAAACAAACCCCTTTGTTTATTGTATCAAACGATATATGACAGGAAGAGAAAACAATCCTAAGAGAATACTTGTTTTTCATTCACTGCTTTTCTACCCTCCAAAGTATTTGCTGCCAGTAGATTACCATTTTATGGAGTTTCTTTTTAATTTTAACCTACCAAGTACTGCTAAGAAAAAGTGATCTAGCAATTTATACTACAACAGCTTAAGGTTGGCATTCAAACAAGCAGCAGGTGTGACATTAAAAAAAAAAAAAAAAAAAATCACTTAATATCCATGCAGATGCACTGTATTTTTACAGTTCTAAGACTAATTTGAGAACATACTGGTTAACAGAAAGGATATTTAAAATAATTCACAGTTTCAATAAATATTTATTTCTGATGTTTTCCCTTACTTCAAGCAGTGAAACTTAACCCCATTATTTTCACAGCTTCTTCAAGTACAGAAACAGAAACCAATTCTGATTTGTATTCAATTAAAATATGACAAAATCCAAATAAATCTTTAGCATTTGAAAAGGTAATTTCTCTTCCAATATTTATCTATTTTAGACATATTGGAGGAATTGTCACCATGCCATGCTGGAGCAAGAAAATGGACTACAAAGCTTACACATCTGTAAACCAGCTGAGTACGTGAAGTATTTTACTTTTATTCTGTAAAATATCAAAGCCTATTATGTTTTGGCATTGCCCAGTCAATTATCCTTACACAGAAGATAAACACACTCACAAACCTGAAATCTGTCACAAGAAACAGCTCTAACGCAATGCTAAACCTATCGTGTCTAAAACATGTTATCTACATAAATTAAAGTTGTGGTGACCATAGACAGCAGCACTGTCTCGTGCTAGCCATTTAAAAGCTAATGTAGTGGCACATTTTTATTGATCTTGTTCCACACATCAAACAAAAGGCTCTGATGCCTTCAAAGGCCTTTTCTTTTTCTTTTTTTTTTTATGCAGGGGGCTTTTTTTTTTCCTTTTTTCTTTTTAAGTAGAAAAAGGAGCAGATGATAGTGAAATTTATGATGTACAGATGTAAACTCTATGGCTCCTGACAATCAACATTAACTATTTTTTCAACAGTGAATGAAACAGTATTTGATTTAAACAAGTTTGAGGTACTGGTATTATGAAGTAAATTATTCAAATTCAGAAGTGAAAAATTACTTTTTATTGGGATTATTTCAATTTTTACAATTTTAAAAGTATTTATTTCATGACATTTCTAGCTACAGAAAGCATGTGCCATTAATTTCTTATTAGTGCATTGCATCAATCACCATCTCAGCTCTCATTATAGACTAGAGCAACAAATTTATTTCTCTACAGTACTCCTACAATATTTTATTTCCTTAAATAAAGCATATCTAGGCAACGTCCAATGCATCTAGGTACATGACAAGGAGCTTGCTGTTGAAGAACAAAATCGTCTCAGATTTCATGGGGAAGGCAAAGTAAACTAATTTTTCTATAAATGAAATCACAAAACAGTAGAATAGAATAGACATTGATTATCTACACAGCTTTCTCCCTCCCAGGTAGTTGATGTATTCTGCTCTCACATCATCTGCCCAGGCATTCCGATATAACTTAAATATAGGGGTTATATACAGTTTTTATATAAAACTCAATACTACATTTTACTTACATAGAGAATATTTTGCTCAAAAATAATATATAAAGTTGTACTAAGATAGCTCATTCCATATATTCTCTATTGGTAGAAAAAGCCAAAAATTCTGCCACAGAAAGACATGGAGGTAGACCTGAAGCAGAAGTCAGAAAAAGAACTAACACCCCTTTTGAGGCAGCAACTTGAATTACAGGCATACTGATTTAGCTGTAGCACACCTTCTCCCACAAGTGCAGAAATAAAGAGGATGAACTCTATCCTTCCAGTCTAAACCTCATCTTAAAGATGGATGAAAAAGCCTGAATCTGGAAATGAAGCTAGGAGAAAGTGACTAAGGGTAGAAAACCCCTAAGAATTATGCTTGGGGTTAATGTTTGAAGTATACCAAAGATAATCTCTTTTTTCCAGAGCTCTTACCATTTGGATTAAGAACATATAGAGTGGGGTCCCAGTAACAGGCTGGGGACCAGCTGTGTGAGAATGGGGGGCTGACAACAACCTACATCAGAAGGAAATGATTGAAGAAAGGATCTTGACCTGCACTGTACAAATTTATGCCAGTAAATCCCAGATGGCTAAGCTAATAAAACTGAGGTCTAATTAAACCACATCCCTTGCATCTTGTCTTTACTTCCATATGAGCAGGACATGGATACAATACTGAGACTACTCTTGGAAAGTCCTGACTCTTGTATCAACTGGACCTGCGACTCCCCAACTTTCCCCATTCACATTCAGAACAAGAAAAACAAGCAAGTTAGAAAGCATCACCACCATACTTCTTAGGATTACTAACCCTCTGTCTGGCAAAATAAACAAAAGGTTTCTAGGCCAATAGCTCTCAATCACAAATGCATCAGTGGCCGAGATACATATATAGACTCCCAAGCAAAGACAAAGAATACATCAATTCACAGTACTCTTGTTATTTTACAAGGCCTAGGAAATAAGCATTAATACTACTACTTCTTAGGGATATAATTTGATATATATTATGTTCTTTACCTCTTCTTCCTTATAAGAGTTCACATATAAAGGGGAAAAAAAAACCCTTGACAATGTTTATTTTCTAGTAGCACCTTTATCATAGAATAAATCATAGAACCATAGAATGGTTTGGGTTGGAAGGGACCTTGAAGACCATCTAGTTCCACCCCTGCTGACATGGGCAAGGACACCTTCCACTAGACCAGGTTGTTCCAAGCCTCATCCAGCCTGGCCTTTATGTTCTAACTGATAGTATATTTGCAGTAAGCAAAACATTAATACCACATCAATAGCTCTAGCATCTAAGTTATCAAGATGATTTAAATACTAATATAAAATTCTGTATTTCTCTGCCTGCCTCAAGAGCTATCTACATATGAAAAAGTCATGATCTTTAGGGAGGAAAGAATTTAAAAATGAAAAATCAGATACGGAAATGCAAATATAAGGTGTTTTTTTAATACTAGACATGATTTAGCAAATTTGTTTACATGCTGTAGTCCCTCAAAACCCTTGAGATAATGCATTGTGACTAACATGTTCCACATATTAATCTAGGTCTGCAATGCTATAATGCAAACACAGAAGTCATGAGTGCCTCAGATATGACACTCCTGACCCAACATCCACACATTTAACAGGTCTAATGCCAAAGTCATGTTGCAGCAAAAAATGCCAAAAGAATTGACTGTCAAATGATCTTTTTCATTAAAAAAAAAAAAATTAAGCAAATCACAAAAAAACACCATAAACATGCAAAACCCAAGTACCTGTTTTACAGATGCATTTTGGGGTGTCTTTAAAAATGTTTCTGGAAAGTACGATGAGCAATTAAGTTATTTGAAGCTAGCTGCTTGCAAAATGCGATTGTTTTAACTTAATGATTTAAATTGTGCACTGTGTTATCATAGACAAAAATCCCTGAGGTTATTATGGCTTTGGCCATCTTTACATTAAACCTGGCCAAGCTAAACGCAGTTAGATTTTGTACTTTAAAAATGTGTTTAGTCTAATAACCCGTAGGCCAAGTTGCTACCTTAAGTTAGAATTAAGTTGGAATTATATATTCCTGAAACAATTCCCAAACAATTGCTAATGAAATACTGAAAAAACACATTTATTGCAGCTATAATTTTCTTGAGGGGTACACTGCATGTGAACTCAGCTGTGTTACACAGCATTTGTGCTGTTCTACAGAAACTGCAGTGAAGCTGCAAAGGTGGCTTTAAAATATAACTGGATTTCTTGTGGGTATAGGACCTCCCTCCCTCACCACTGATGGATCAATGATTTTAACCGTCGCTGCTTTACTACTTGGAAACTACAGTTATTTTAAATCACATGAATTTCTTAATCATGTAGCACAATAATGTTTTCCTAAAAGTTGATTTTCCTAAAGGCTGAACGTAACCTGATGTTGTTAACACCAGGCTGACGTGCTACAACATGAAGACTGGTGGAAGCACATTTATTATGTCCTTTTGGCACCATACAGTCCCTAAATAGTTTTAATGGATAAACTGTCTTTGGGTAGTAATGTAACTAGATGACAGCCAAGTGTATTTTCACAAAGCACAAGAAAAACCTGTCAATTGTACCAAAATTCAAAGACATAAACTACAAAGATGAAATAAGATGACCTTATGAGTCACTTAAATTCCCAATTTTTCCTCCAATACTCCAGTATTGACAGTTTCTTATCTGCTGATGCAAAGATGATGAAAAATAAGAATGATATGGATACTGTAAATCTATTTGTACAACCAAACATCCAACACAGACTGTTCTACACAGTAGTTACAATTCCAAGAAATATGTTTTATTTATTTTTTTCCACCTTTGGGGAAACTAAGCCATACAATCTCCTAGAGATAGTATGTATAGGTACCTCTGCTAACAGTTAAACCTGTAAAGAAGAGTATCCCCCTAAGTTCTGGCTTTGGTTCATTCAGCATAAAAATATATAACCAGCTTCAAATACATGAGGATTAACAGCCTCCCATAAAGTATTCTGGTGGCAAAATTACAGAACTCATACTATTCTGGATATGCACTAGTAGACATTTTGCCATTTCGTTCCCAGCGAAGCACAGTAATTCTTAAATACTTAACATATCTTTTATCTGGTTTCAAACAAGAAACAGACTATAAAGGAACTAATTCCAGAACTTCAAACATGAATTCTCAGATTGTAACTTAGATCAAGTATCATGGATTGTACACAAATAATTTGATAAACATAAATAAATAAATATCAGCACTATTTTTTTTTATAGTCTGACTTTATTCAAGGATTTTTTTAGCTGAATTTGAAGTGTATCTTTAAAATTTAAAAATTTCAGAGACATGGTAGCTGACATGGAATTTATAAGTTATGTTCAGTTTCTGACTGTTATACTTAAAGAACTGTGTTTACCTATAGAAAAATGAAGCACAGATTCTTTGAGATTTTTATCAGATTATTTTCAAATAAGGAAAAAAAAAATCTTTTAAATATTTTCCGATTTCAGTGTAGGCACAGACTGAGAAATTATTTATGAAAACAACTTCTTAAACCTATTTAAATTAAATAAAGGAAACTCTGAATAGGGGACACATGACTGAATAATTTAATAGCAAACATTATGATGTATTATTTATGAACCTCCACTAATGCACAAAAAAAATGGTCACACATAATAAGGGTGTCCCTGTCTTGAAAAGCAGATGAAGAACTGACCACACACTTCTCATCCCAGTAGAACTTTCACTGAAATCAAATGAGTGAGGAACACAGGATCGTGCCACATTAGATCCCAATACAATAGAAAGTAACAGGCTGAAATTGAAAACGTAAAGAGGAAAAATAGATGCAAAGTTATATAATTTTGCATTTATTCTTCCAAAAGTGAAAGAAAAAAAAAATGGAGAAAGAGAAGAGATTCAACTAATAGAGGCTCTCCTATGAAACACATTCTGCAAGCATGTCTGTCTGGCTCTGGTTCACTGCACAGCTATACCATATTCCTTCAAAAATTTGCTCTTCTACCTTACAGGGCCATTATTTTACTACTATTGGTAGGCTCCAAATTATCAGTGATTATTAATGAACATTAAACTATCCACTATGAACCTATATTTAACATTTTCTAAGAATTACACTAAAAAAAAAATAGTTGATTAAAATGTAATGAATTGAACTTCTAACATAATTGAATCAGCTGGAAATGAATACTCTAGAATAGTAATTATGAATCTCTTTGTTTATTTGTGAAAACACATAAGCACCTATTATTATAACAATCTCCTTGCTTACAATTATCCATAGCTATTCGGTAAAACATTTTATGTCTTAGTGTCACCAAGGGGGGGGGAAGAAAAAAAAAAAGCGCACGTATTTCTTAACAGAGCAATTAATTTTCACAGCTATGTATAAACATTATGCCTTAGCTCTTCTAGTGCTTCCACTATGGAGATTCCTGTTTTTCACACTACCTTTGGCTTGTCGTTTCTTGCTCTTTCAGCCGTGAGACAGACTCTGCAATTTCCTTTCCCTTCCTTCTTAGCTGACCCAGAAGTATCTTTCTCGCATGTTCCAGTTGCTCAATGCGTTCCCTCTGGGACTCAATCACACTCTCCCTGCAAGTACAAGCATCTTGTGTTCCAAAAACAGGTAAGTATTTAAAGAAAGGGGAAAAAAAAATACTCAAGAGAGCAAAAGTTTTAAAAGTGTTCAGCAAAATTTGTATTTCTTAATGACATGCAACACGAGAGTTTTAAGAGTTCAACTTACTATGAAAACAGAGATTACCACATGAAAAGATGTGAATAGTACAATAAATAGATAAAGAATTCTAACACATTATCAAACACCACACAAACAACATAATACTTTTTAAATAAATGTTTATGTGGACTTAATAATGTTTAGCAAAACCTAGCTGAAAACATTGTTTACAGTTTTATACTCCTTATTAAACATATCCCCCTCATAGTCCATTAATACCCCAAGAGTTTTCTGCAAAGGAAAACACCATTACCAGGATCAAAAGAATGAGAACTTCAATGGATGGAGCAGTGAGAGCAATTTTTAAGCTTTTATTCTGAGTTAGGTAACTTTATGCAAAAAAGAAAAACAGATGATGTGTCTTTAACAGTGGAATTTATCCAGTGAATGCAATTAAAAAAAAAGGTCTTAAACATTAGAGATCAGAGTCCAAATGTTTTTTAATAGGCCACAACTTCGCAATTTTGATTTTCTTGACAAGTTAATGTCAGATACCTTTTTCAATAATTTTTTTCCTAGTAAGCAACAATGTAAATTTTTTTCCATCCTAAAGGTTTTGATGTGTAAGCTACAGTTCTTCACTAGTTCATATACCTATTGTAGGCTTAAAAGTACCTTGAGTTTTTGGCCATGTGTTTGCTGTTGTACCCAAGTGCACCATTCTGAGCAACCGTGGTCATTTTTGTCACCTATGTGAGAACTGAAATCTCTGAAAAAAAACACTATTTGAACGTTTTCTGCACTCTAACACAATGTTTTTGATCAGTCTTCAGAGAAAAGCTATTGTGAACATCAAGATTCACAGCATTCTTAATGGACAGCTCTTATTTTCCTAATCTTCAAAAGCGATAGGTATAGGAGAAACAGCCCTTTCTAGGCCCATCACTATATCACTGATTTTAATCAGCAACAAAATTTAACTAGAAGCCTCTTTTTTTTTTTATGTTAACTGTTCAGCACGGGTTAAATTTACACAGGAAGCTAGAAAGAGTGCAATTTAAAAATCATTACATAATTTACATTTATTTATTAAAATCATTTATAAAAATATTACTGTAAAATTATTTCCTATGATCCCACTAAACCTTTGGTTTACAAAACTTCAAGCACAAAATACATAATTGCTCATTAATTCATGTATTTGTATACATAGCTTGCCCATTTATTGAAAAGTTGGCATTTATGGATATTGCAGTAAATAGGATTTAGGTAAATCATTATGGAAAGAGACACCCATACTGGAAGTAACTTTCAGAAAACTATGTGTCTAAAGAGCATAATAGGTTCTGACATACTCTGGGGAAGAAAAATGTTCTAATTATAAGCTCCGTATCTTTAAATTAGATATAAACCACCTTTTCTCCACCCTATATACCACCTCTCTGTTCTCATGCAGTCTCTGCATTAAGGATGTTATCAAGAGTTGCCTGAGCTTCAATTTCAATTAAAATGAGCAACTGAACTAACTTTCAAAATGAAGAAGTGAATCAAAATCACATTACATTACTATTCCATACTGCACTTTCTGCAACTTATTCATAAAATCTGACCACCTCTACAAATGAAGTTTAAGTGCGTCAGTGTAATGCACTCCATAGTGTCACCACTTGCATGGTTTGTTCTACATATTTTAGAGGTTATGTTAATAATAATTTTGCAGCTAAGATTCTCTCCTCTTTTCTCAGTTTCATCCAGTAGTAAGCTAGGCAGCAGTGCATCCTAGCAAAGAAAGGCTCACCACTGAAGATCAGTTTTAACTTTCAGCCAAATTTTATGCACCTACATTCTAAATTCCTGATCCTGTGTTTTCCTTAACATAAAACACTTCTACCTTGTTACCAGTGTTGCTGTTGTCAGATCCAACAACTTCACTTTATTTTCTTAAGTAAAAGCTTCTGAAAACATGGTTTTTTTCCCCTCTTCAAAAGATCCCACAAGTTTTAATAATTGTAATCACAAACATTAAGAAATACGAAAATCATACAAATTCTTTATTTCAGCCTCTGGATCTTCAAGCAGACTCTGTCCACATCTTGGGGGCATAAGGTTAGGTGATCCCACTTCTATATCCTGAAATCTCATTCCTGCAAACAAAGAAAAGATAAATTTTTTGTCATGCTGAATGAAAAAGCATTTAACAAAACAATCTCTATACAGTACAAACAATTACAGCTCCTATATAGATGCCATAAAAAGTATGTAACTTCACATTCACGTGGAAAAATAATCAGAGTATCTATAACACAGCTGCTGTAATAACTGAACTATGGCAATACAGCATGCACTGTTAAAGAGAAGTGTTAAAAACGTGTCTTGAAATGTTTTTCTTAGACTGTTTTACTTTTAAGCAGGAAGAACAGGGATGGTAACTTCAGAGAAGAACAGTATTGATATCAAATGGGAACATGGACTTGTAATCACTTTTTCTCTGATAGCATTTTCCATACAATATCACAAGTGTCATTTACCTAGACAAGCAATTACAGGACCAGTTTCAGCAGCAGTGCAAACAATTTCCTTATATTCTTTAGAAGTCCCTGGTGAAGAAAAGTCAGAAATTACTTAAGAATTGTTAGTTCAGGAGTAAAAGTAATTGTTTCTCCAAATCTTTCTGCTCCTTTTCTTTCTTCAGGAAGAAGAAAATTACGAAGTTTTGAGGTGGGACAAAACTATGCATTGAATTTCAAACACAGCATTAAGGCTGCCACTCCTCAGTTCCCAAAATTGAGTCATTTGGGTTCAGGGTATAACAACAACAGCAGGTTCACAAAAGGACTGAAAAAAAATTACCTCTTTTACATTTGTGTGAGTTAACTTCATTTATTTATATATTTTGTATTTTGATCTTTAAGTATTACTTTAAGGTATTGGTAATTGTGCTTTATACATATGTGTATATATATGCCTAGCTTATGTATTTTTTACTTATTTTTGTTCAAATCATGATATATCTTAGATGGCTGTACTCAGGTACAAAGGTAATGAGAGAAATCACTGAGTATTTACTGATTATTCCTACTTGACCACATCTTTTTGGATCGAGTTGCTATGGTATTTGTAAACTAGCCAAATAACGCAGACAGAGTAAGGTGTATTTACTATTTGTGGATTCTTCTTGCCTCATAATACTCCACAGACAGCTAAGCTCTCCTGAATCTCTCTCAGGCATGCATTTTATTTTTGAAGAATTGCTGCAAATATTTTCTGATCAGCACTAAAAATATTTTGAGATTCATCCTCACGGTTCCACAGAGCAATCTAATTGTCCAACAGTCTTTAAAGACTGGGGGCACATACACCGAACTGATAGGTTTATCATTAATCAAAAGGGCAGGATGAGAAAACATGCAAGAGAAAAACATGAAACATCCTATGCTATTGAATATCACAGAAAATATCCTCCGACCTTCTGGAAGACAACACTACTGTGTCCAACTTGAAAGTACTGGTTACTAGATTTTAATAATAGTCTTCACGTTAGAAAAGGGTGTTCAAGAAACTGCATATTCATAGCACTCAAATTATACTACCCTTCTACTTTGAACGAAGTCTTAGAACTGAGGTAGGAAAACTAGAATTTCTGTCCAGTTTCTGAACGTTATTATCTGAACCAGACAACTTTCTTTTTTTCCCCTCATGTTCTCTGCAGTTTAAGAACCACTGCCTCAATCAACATGGCCTCAACCCTAGTTCTGCACAACATCTTTGATCTGCATCTGTTCTTATGCCAAGCGAAGAACATGCCATATCAACATTTGATCTTCAATCCTTGAACCAAGTTGCCCTTTCCTCTCTGCTGACACTAGGCCTGAATAAATTTATTATATTTCTACCCTATTTTTCCACTGTTAAAGAAACAAAAAATTATTTGGGGAATAAAAAATACCTAATTAATGACAAAGTGTAAAAATGTAGGTGTATTTAAAACGTCAAAACTTGCACTATGTTCAAATTAAAGCAAAGTGGTAGAGCCAATTACTTTTTATTGCTGCTCTAATACATGAGATGTTTCTGTTTTGACATACCTGAATAATCAATGTAACCAAAATATAGACTCTGTGCGCGAGATAGAGACAAAACAATGTAACTGGCCATCAGCCTGATCCATAGCTTGTAAGCAAAGATAACTGCCTTTTTTTTAAACACATTACCTGTACCACGTATAAGTTAACTGAGTACAACTACCTCTACACATGTTCCTACAAAAATAGAAAGGTTTTAGAGCATAATTTCCAAGTGTAGCTACCATAAATAAAGGACTGAGAGCAAGACTGCCTTAAGCAGTAAGTCTTGACAGTAAAATGCATCATTAAAGATGGCTGCATCGTGGCATTTACTTTCCAAAGTCCACACGTGTAAGACATTTTTCAAGTCTGCAGTGCTGTGCACACGTGTATCAAGAGACTAGAAGAAAACTTGAAATTAAAAAAGGCAAACCAAAATGTCTGTGCAAACAAACTACAGATGTAAAACTTTGTTATAGCATGCTAATGCATTTTCAAATCTGTATTTTTGTTTTACCCCTACCGCTGTGAATTCTCAAAGTAAGGACTTCAAAGGCAAACAAGTTATCATGACTGTTATAAATAAATACAAGAAAGAGAGGGAAGAACAGTCTTTGCCTACAGGTACTACTGCCCACTGATGAAGAGAAGAGAGTACACACTCGCTGCAGTGAAGCAGTAATTAGTGGTACCTATACAAACCACTATTTTCAATGAAGTGAAGCATACCTTTTGTTGCATGCTCCAGCATGCCAGCAGTCTTAATCTCTTTTCTGAGACCCGTGTTAATACGAGACTGAACATAGCTGTACAAACAAGACCTACAGCCTTGAATCTTGAGCTGCTGTTTAGTTGCAACAAGTTTGCTGCGGAGGCTCTCGTTTTGTTTCTCAAGCTCACGAACTCTCTCTTGCAAACGCTCAATCATTTCTTCCAGCTCCACAGCCCGACCCAGCCACTTGGGGCCGCCACCAACCTGCTCAGAACCTTTTTTATCATTAACAAGCCGTATGAACTTGGTGGCCATTCTGTGGAAAATAATAAAAAAAAGATGAAAAAGAATGTGAAAAGTCAGCATAAAAAGCATTCTGTTGAAAGGAACATAATCACTGTGAAGACTTCAGCATAGAATCTGAATAATAAATTTCAGGTTTGATATAACTATTACTGCCTGTGAAGAACTCTTTGAAGATAATTGAAACCACTGTGCAGCAATCTGCTTTATAGCACTGACAAATAACAGTTTCCTAAGGCTTATCATTTAAGGTTAGTAAAGGGAGGACACATATTTACTCCATATGCTGTTTCAATGTAATTTTTAACGCATGACCTTATATAGGAACCTCTGCATGCTGTTAAGTGAAGTTACAGATTTGGGATGTAGTGGGGCAAACTATAGAAGCTACAAGTCCACAAAACATTCCACTATTGAAAGAATGCTAATAATATACAACATTCCAATGACATATAACTTCTAGCATTTCAGGATTTAAATATATATTTCAGTTCTAAAATGGCTGAAATATATAGAGAGTGATATTTAAAAAGGTACTCCAGAAAAAGAGACTTAATAGTTCTTATAGCCATACTCAGTGTTATACTTGGTAAATATTACCAGTGTGCTTCAGAGAATAAACAGTTAGATGAAGATTATAATTAGATACAGAGAGTATGGTTTTCATCTGTCTTTAAACAGATACAAATTTTGCTTTTGGCATCTCAAGAGTTGTACCTTTGATTTCTTTTAGTTTTGATAAACAATGGTAAGCTAGAACAAAAGGCAGAGAGGGCACATGGAGGTGATGTAATATACAAGAACAGAAAACATACCCAGCAGTGAATGGAAAAAAATTGGCATATAAAGAAAGAAAAGGTGGCTTTGATGAGAAAGACAAGTTCAAGACTTTACAAAATTGGTCACACATCTTCAAGACCTGTATCTAGTTTACAAGGAATCTATTTTTTCAGGCCCAGAAAGAAAACTGAAAATAAGGACACATTTATTTAAAGGGTGGTGGGTGTTGGTGGTTTTTTTTTTGTATACTTGTGGACAGAAGCTTCTACTTAAAAGAACAAAAGCAAAACAAAAAACAAGTCCGTAACAACTTTAGGATGTCACAGACTATTACTCGCCTGTAAGCAGGCTTTTTTTTTTTTTTTTAAATGCACTTCTACTGCAAATTCATTCCAACCTTTTAGTTACAAGGGTTTTGGCAGCAGGGATCCTGGGAAAGAAACTTAGCTTGAGGAGTTAAGATTTTTCTCTGGCAATCTACACAAATACTGTATTTTATTTATTCTGTGCCTTAAAATACTAATTCAGGTATTCCAATTTGGACATTCTGTGTAATTTTACTTAAGCAGATGATAAGTGCATTTCATAAGTCATCTAACAGGAACACAGGAAATGCTATTTGGAACAAGCAAACAATTCATTTGTTCCATCATTTCACATATTAGACGGTAGCCTGACAGAAAAAAATGAAAGTTATGTCACACTGGACAATTTGATCCTGACTTATACCGAGTCAGAAGGAAAAAATGTTTTGGGTTTTAGAAAAGTATGGAATAGTCCCAACTACAGAAGCAGTATCTTCAGATGCCCTTCCACGAATTGGTTAGCTTCTGACCAGAAGCTAGCTTAAATCCAACAAGATTTTGTTAGTTTAAGACCAGCACAGTGTGAACACAGAATCACAGTGGATGAATTTTGGATGAATTAGCCCTTCTGGAATACAGTAATAGCATGAACAGTTCTGCTGATTGATTTGCCTGCACAACACTACATTTAATAACAAGCCTCAAGTTGCTTGCATATGTTTGGGTACACTGGGTACTGTGCTCCCCATGCTGCTTGGGACTTCTCCAGTGAAGTTGTCTATTATGAGGCTTTGAGCAACCTGGTCTAGTGGAAGGTGTCCCTGCCCATGGCAGGGGGTTGGGACTAGATGGTCTTTAAGGTCCCTTCCAACCCAAACCATTCTATGATTACCCCGAATAAAGGAGAGCTGATCGTAATTATAAACATTTTACGGTTAATTGGACAATAGATGCTCATCACCTTCTTGGAGGGCAGTGAAGGACAAAATAAGGGGCAGAATCTCTCTGTATAGGCCATTTTTATTCTAGGACAAAATCCCTGATGAACAGTTAGGTTTGTATAGCTTCTTCTGTTCCCAGAGTACCTGGTACATTTGTACTCAGCGTATCTATGAACCTACGGTAGCAGCTCTGAAGTGGTGCTTAGCAATGTACCTCTCTACACGGAGATCTAATATTGTCCACCACAAAAAATATCTCACATACCACAGAGACAACCAGAAAAACACACAAAAATTAATTCCAAGGAATGATTTTTGCTACCGCTGTAAAAAGCACTCTGAGAGAAATCAGCATGTTTTTAATTTGTTGATAATGCTTTAAAGGGAAAAAATGTTATTGTGATCTAAAATAAAAACATGAAACCCCATACCTTTTAATTTTCTCCTCCTGCTTATTTGCATGCTGCTTGAGTAGGATGTGATCATCATGTAAACGAAAAAATCTGTCTTCCAGTTCCTTTCGACTGATTTGTGATACAGCTTGCCAAGTTTTGACATTCTGTGTACTGGATGATTCTATCCAAACCAAGACAACTTTAAATTACTTTCAATACATTCAACAACATGTAATTCAAAGTCTAACTTCTTTTGAAATACTGAAAGAAGTAATTAATGTTCTCAAGTAATTTGGTATTCTACTCTTGTATGATTATGCTTTGCAGATTTCTTAGCATATTAATCACCTCCTTTTTTTCTCCTTCTTACAGATAAAAAAAATTCAAATGATACACCAAATTGATTACCTACTAGACAACACAAAGTTTAGCAGGTAACAAGGTACTGTCAAACATGCTACTTAAATAAGATGATTGTTACCACAGCGATGCTTTCAATCTGTTACAAAGTCAAAATACTCTCTTGAAGCTTGAAAAGATTGACTCATAATACTCTAAATTTACTTAGATACAAAACTAAGACCAGTAGGTCCATTCTAATAGCAGCTGAGTAACGTATCAGAATTACATAGAACTTTTGGTTCCCTTTCTGTTAAATAGGTCTGGCCTTGGCATCAACCCAGCAAAAATGTCCTCTCTTCTCCTGGAAGGATGAACACTATAGCTCAACCAGATTTCCAGTTTTTAGCATCTCACAGCAACTCCCCCATCACAACAAGCAATATGACCACAGAATGGGTCACAGTATCTTTCAGAATTTAACCCTGATTTTGAATGGTATTTGAACTTAATTTTGTAAGTGGGAACATCAGAAAGATTTTTAGAAAGAAACTAAAGAAGCCACTGATCAAAGTCTGCAATAAACAGCAGCTGGTACAAACCTTTTAATCGTCCACTTCTGGCTGGAGTTAGACCTACATCTCTCACCGGCAGGTCCCCCACAGTTTCATCAGCTGGAACAGACATGGCTTATCTATGGATAACAAAATTCAAATGAGATACTTCTCCATTTGTAACAGAAGCTGCAAGACTAGAATGAATTATAATACATCATATAAAATAAAGAAAAAAGTAACAACAGATTCACTGAAATGACACATTCGTACACTACTGTAAAATATTCCTATCTCGAGTCTATCACCCAGAGGACAACCTAAACTTTTAGGTGTAATGTTATGTCAGTTTTAATTGGTGTCCAAAATATGGCTTCTTTGTTATGCAATAGCTCCAATTATATTTAACGTATGTAGTATTAGCTTTTTAAACTTCTAGTTTTCTTGCCTTCAGCGAACTGTGGGCTAAGGCCATATTTCTATATGCATGTGGGAGGGAGACCTGGGGGTGGGGGGGTTTGCTTTTAGTTGTTTTTTTGTTCGTTTTCGGACAGGTCAAAGCTTACGGCATCAACTGGTAGATGAGTAATGTAATTTTCCACATTTTGAATGGGACTCTCTCAAAACAGAGATGCTGGGGGTTATGAAGTAATTTTAGTGCTGCCTACCATTCTCTTATTCTTTCAATCACTGTCATAAGAGAAATTACTTCCCAAGATAGAGACTCTCCTATGAATGATTCTCATAAATCCAAACACATTTCTTAACTTGAGGCACCAGAAAGCTTAGCTACATGACAAAGTGAAATTAGGAAAGTATTAATGTGAGAAAGTACATTTGTTTCAGTGTGCTATATGAAAATACTTGTTAAAAACTACTGTTTGTCTTCTCTTCCAGTGCAGAAAATTAGATACTGGCCATAGAGTCAAGTAAGACTGACATAGCATGGAGAGACACAAAGTCCTTTGGACAGTCTTTTCCTCTGTATTGTTACACTCTTATGGTGACTAAATCCTTAGTAAACCCAAAAACATCCAGGAAAGCACTGGGTAATTAACAGTGATTTTACTGAAGACCTGCACCACATGACAAAAGTGACACAGTATAACCCACAGACATTCCATGAACTATCTGTGAATTCTACCATAACCAAAACTGCTGCTAGCAATATGCCTTCCTTCTACCTGCAAAGTCTTCTATCATACACAAAGTATCTTTATGACTTGGTCCAAAAGGGGTTAAAAGGATTATGGAAGTTTAGCTTCCCACAAGTCAATATTGCTGTCAAACTTTTGTTCTTTTCCTCATTAAAATTTCAGATAAAGTATTACTTGCAGCTTTCACTGTTTAGAACAAACTGAAGACATTTTTCTTTCATGTGGAACAAATGCTTCATTATCATGACTGCTGAAATGCCTGAACTGATCTACACTGCCGATTAGCAATAAGGCTGCAGTTCCAAAGATGTCGGTCACAGAAATGGAGAATGCTTCATGATGTGGAGGTCCATGGCATGCAGCCATTGTAACCAGCAGCACAACTCTAACGACAGAACAACTGAAATCCAGCTCCCTAACGCCTTCAGATCTTTTTGTGTTATTCACAGCAATATGTCAAAATATTTTTTTAATTTGTTAAATTAGCTCAATCTGCAGTCATTGACTTCACTCAGGTCTAGGTTCATTGCTGTGGTCATTATTACATGTCACTGTATCAGTATCACTGCAGAAACTGAGAATAAAGTGAAAACAGAAACCTTTATCTCTAGATGATCAATACAAATGTGGTTCATGATGACAGCAAGGAGAAGATGCTGCCATGACATCTTTTTAGAATGTGGTTGTCTTAGTTTCCACAAATGAAAAATGACAGTTTTTTCTCGCACATTTCAGAGACGTCAAGAGCTAAACAAATATTATATCAGCACAACTCTGTAACATTTGTGATTGACTAAAATCAAGCTTCAAAAACCCCAGCACAATAATAGGCACAGGCACAGTTAGTTTTTTAATTATTTGCCGGTTGCTAAAGAAACTTCTCTATGGCTATCTACCTGTTATTTTCAGTGTGAAAGAAATCTATTCATTTAAAAGACAAAACAACACATTCTTGGGCCTCAAACAAATGAAACCTCCTTGTCAGCAGTAATCCATTGCTGGCCGCAGCAAAAACACCAAAACATTTCAGTTGTAAGCAAACAAACCTAGCAGGGCTCTACATGAAAGACAGTTTTTTTTATTAGCAACATGACATGACTTGAAGACACGTGACAAAATAAAGCTGCTATAAATCTTAAGTCCAGGAAACTTAGAAAGGTGAAATTTTCAGAAGTAAAAGGAGTAACTAGTTGTTTCATATTCATTACAAAGTGACAGAAATTGAGTATTCTGCTTTCTTTTCTGTCCTGGGCCACAGGAAAACAAAAAAACAAACCAACACAAAAAAAAAGAGCTGGTTTTATGAAAAAGAACATTTTTAGACAGAAGTAGTCTAAACCTGCCCCCTGGTTTTAGGGAGGCAAAATATAATTACTGATTTAAAATCTGGACTGGCAATTTATTTGCCTCATTATTAACGTAAGAACCACTCAGCTAACAACATTTATGCTTCCTCTCAGAGAGGTCACTTCAAACAGCAAAAGATGTATATAAATATAAATATGTATTTTCATCTGGGAAGATCCACATGCCATGCTGAACTTAAACAACTTGAAACAGTTTTATTTCCAAGACAGGTTACTCTACAGTCACTTCAACACTTCTTGTTCCTAAAAAATAAGAAAAAAGGAACTCCACATACAAAGAGAGAATATTTTCCATACCTTTTTCCATTTAATACCATAAGGTATTAAAATACCAATATTTTAATACCTTACAGATTAACCCGTAAGAATTTCAAGTTTGGTATAAGGAAGAATTTTAGATATAGTTATTGAAGTGAAAGAAACTTTAACTTTCTTATACACTGTACTACTTACAAAACTGGTGCTATCACACTGGTATCTGACAAATTGCCACAAAAAACTGCATACAGGCTTGCAGTGTTATGCAAGACCAGACAGTAATAAGCACAAATACTTAAGTATCAAAGCTCACGCTTTAGGTCCAAATCCTTATATAACTCACAGACGTGTACTGTTCTCCCATCAGTCAAACACAGGAAAACTGAGGATGGATTACTTAAATTTCCAAAAGTTTTCAGCTAGTGGGGCTAAAAAGGACAGCTTCCAGTGAAATCTTAAAAATTACAAGAACTTACTTAATTGTTTCAACAGCGATTTAGAATTTCATGAGTCTTGGCCATGACCAAGATTATGCTTTTCTTATAAAATCCTCCCCCACTTCTCTGGTAGAAGGAAGCAGGGGGGCAGGAGAAGGAAAATAAAAAAACAAGGGAGGAGAGAGAGATCACCCACCTATCTTAGCCTATCACAAAGTATTTCCAGCCTACATTCTTCCTCTACTGATTCCTTAACAGACACACGTTTGCACTCTACTGGGCTCGTCATCTAAAATAATGTCCTTTATTCCTAGGTAGGAGCGTACACACACATCATCTGTCAAACATCACCTGTTGCAGTGTCGTGAGTTTTAGAAGGCAGAAAGAGAAAAAAAGAGAGAAGACACGGAAGATGTTAGGAAGCGAGATCACCACATCCTGCTGTAGTGAGGGAAGAAACGTCTCTCAGACCCCTAAATCCTACTGCCACACAGAAAAATCATAAACAACCGTGTCTTGCCTTCAACTTCTTTCTCAAGTGCTTTCCTACTTTTAATTCAGCTCCGTCGGCTCTGACTACCTGAGGCGAGCAGAGGGGGCAGGGAGGGAAGGTAGCTTGCCTCACGAAGGAACGCCTCCACGCCCCGGCTGTTCCCGCCCTCGGGCACAGCAACGCAACTCCGCCAGAATCCAGCGGCCTTTCCACGTACGTGACAGAGGCCACGAGTGAGGAGGGCTATAGGGCTGCTCCTAAACACCGGCGAGACACCCTACCTTCTCCCACAGGTACTAAGGAGCCCCGCAGTCTGCAACACCCACCGCAGAAGCTCCCCCTTAGCACGGGA